AACATTCCTTCAGCACAACAATAACCTACTAATGTGAAGAAATATAATCAAAGTAAAATAATTTTGTAAACTTCGTGAACATATGTTTAAAAAAAAACCAAAGCTTAAATATTTCAGGCATTCTACTTCCATTTACTTTGATTTTAACCATCTCCCACGATTCTACTAAATTTCATGCGCTTGGCTAATTTACATACAAATACACAAATTTGCAAATTGCACAGTAAAATTAATTTCAACATTCTAAGACACAACGACAACAGTCTCAATTGTATGTAACGTCATCCCTGGTTTTATATAGTATACAGTACATTGCAGAATTTACTGGCAAACTAGTGAAATCCAAATGTAATGTTGCTTACTGGCTTAATGATAAATCACGATCAGCTGTATTGAGGTAAACAAAAATCAACAGACAAATGGCTTCTAATGCTATTCTTATGGAGAACATTTTACGTTATATCATTGACTAAGTCAAAGGTTATGTCTAATTTTGTGTTAAAATTTGGGGAATTTCACTATTTTTCCGGGATCGAGACCTTTAATTTGAACCCTCTCCCGTCGTTCTACGACTACCCAGTCGCCCACAATTTTGACGCAAAGAATCGGCTTTCGTAATTAATATATAGATAGATATTTAATTTCCACAAAATCAGTTAATGTAACCAATGCGTTTCGTTGAATTGAAAAACAAAGAACACAATTAAATCAAACAGCTGATGTAAACAATATTATGTTCTTCGTAAGGATAACATGGGAACTTAATAAAAATAAGGCAGAGGCCAAGGGACTTTTTCAAAAATTTTAGGCCAGTTTGCAAATCTACGCAACACGCTCTTTCCAATGAGACGTCAGTGGATAAAATCGGTTTAGAAATGGTGGAGGATTCAACCGACAAACTTCGTGTTCGCGTATTAATTATATAGATTTCATATGTGCATGAAATGTTGGTGTGAAACCAACTTGTATAACTTTAAGCTAAATGGTTTAAGTTACCTGGCTTAGTCAAGTGATCCTTCTTCAGTATTACACTACTATAGTTTCGGACTTGAAAATAAGTCCATCTTCAGAAAACGTCAATAGGTCATCTAACCAAATTGGTTAGATGACCTATTGACGTTTTTGTTAACCTGAAGATGGACTTCCAGAGGCTACCTCACCATGTATACCTTTGAAGTAGAGGCTATATTTATTCCCAAAAGGTATCAAACGCCAGCTCCTGATCAAATCTTTTCTATCCCTTTAAAGTTTGTTTCGTGTTTTTAGTCTTCACGTACAGAGACTTAAATCTTTGTATTAAATTGTTAGCAATCATAAATCGTGGACAGAATCTTCCACAAAAGATAAATACAATATAGTTTAACACCCTAGAACTCCTTAAAAAATATATTTTTTTTAATGGGGTGAAGATGATCCCGTGAGGATCGAAACCGGTCGCCTTTCAAGGTCAAAAGGATCACTTGACAGCAGGTAATTTCACCAGTACACGTATTGATCAGTGATTCGGAGGCTTAACTCAAACAAAATGAAAATATATTTTGTTAATGCTTCGTCATAATGTTAAAAATACTCAATACCACAACAAATTCATTAATTTTACATATGTAAACGTTGATAGTTGTATGCGTATTGTATTTTAATATATCTTCTGTATACATCTAGTCCTCTATATTTTCTGTGAACACAAATGCTTCTGTATACACTTTTTTGCAACTCACAGTAACTGAGAAATATTCTAAACTGGTTAACTGTTTTTATAAATTGTTGCCATTATTTCTCAACCCGTGCTTAAAAAATTAGTGACTCGTGGATGAATCCAGATACAAAATTTAATCTAAATCGGACCACAGGTTTTGTCTGTAGCTCTGTATCTGGATCATACAAGTGTGTTATATAACATGATCAAATCACATAGTCAAAATATGTTTTATTCTATAACTTTTAATTTAATTAAACATAAAAGTCATGCTCCCTCCATTTTTAAAGTATTCAGTCCAAAAATGTAATAAATTTACTTGTGCATACATATTTATTTCGTTTTAATAAATAATTGAGGTGATGCAATACACTTATGTAGGCAGTCGCAGCAGTCGAAGCCGGGCATAGCGCCTAGAGTTTCACGAACGCAAACCGCGCAACGAGTAGCTAAATGAGCCGTAGAGTAAGTGAGCCATCTAATATTTTGAAGAGGGTTCACTTACTCTACGGATCATTGTGCCAATGATCTGTAGTGTAAGTGAGCCATCTAATATTTTTCTGCAGGCTCGTATAGTATACGAGCCTATTCCTATAATTTATATTATTCATTATTTTGGCTGATTCAGCCGATTCCTGAATTATCAAATAATTCGTAAGCTTGGCTCATAGTCACTATGATCTGTAGAGTAAGCGAACCTTCCTACTGTATTTTTAAATATAATACACGAGGCTCATAGGCACAATGATTTGTAGAGTAAGTGAACCCTCTTCATTTACTTTTTATTTTCAATAGGCTCGTATAGTATACGAGCCTGTAGTGCAAGTGAACCTTCAATATTATTTAAAAAGCTCGTATAGTCTATGATCTGTAGAGTAAGTGAGCTGTCCCCCCCCTACTGCAACACTGCAACCTCAGCGCGCAATCCAGGGAGTTATTATACATCGATGACAACAGCTGGCCAGCTGATTTACAGCCAGTGCTGCCAACGTATTTCGCGCGCATACGACGTTGCCTGCATGTTAGGCCTCTTTTATGCACGGCGTTTTCGGTCGGGCGAAATCGTCGGGCGGAATCAATGTCCCTATGCAGTTTCTCCGCCGAGCGGAATCCGCTGATGCCCGTGGTGGGGGTGTTCAGTGCTACCAACTTCGTTCATTTTGCCATCGTCAGTGACCCAAGATGGATCCTTGTGTATTGGTGTATACTTATTTGTACATGAAGAGAAAAAGACGACGGCGAAGGAGATGGGCTGTACACCCGGTTAATGAAAGTCGTAGGGTGGATGGGGCTTTCACACGCCTATATGGGTTGCTGCGAAATGATGGGGAAATGTTTGAGAAGTTCCTACGAAACTTTGCGTTTGTATTATTCCGCAGATTTAAACAAAAATGTAATTAATTCTCATGCAGTAATTTTTTCCCTAATTACATCACATTACTTGTACTCTTCAATCAATTACAATGAATAAAGATATTCTATTTACAATGATTACCGTAGGTGATTTCAATACTGTGGATGACAGAGCGTGGGGTAGGTTGGCAGCACTACATTCCGCCCGACGGAAAACGCAGTTGCATAAAAGGGTTCAATTTGAACCTATGTAAAAACACGCTCCACGAAACGCCGAAACTCGGCGGAGTCTAAGTCCTCCGTCGGCCTCCGACGGAATTCTGAAACGCGACGGAGATTCCGTTGTGCATAAAAGGGCCCCATTTGATCCCATGTTAAAACACTCACCGACGGAAAGCCCGATAGATTCTGATAGATTCCGCCCGACGGAAAACGCTGTGCATAAAAGAGGCCTTACGTGCTCACTATTTCGTGCCTTCACGTTGCAAATCTGGAGTGAGACAAAGTAATTAGAGTGAGACAATGTTAACATTGTCTCACTGATGAGCGAATTGGCCACTTTGCTTTCTCAAATCAGTGAGAGAACATGTACATTGTTTGGTAACTGTAGGAAAAGTAGCATTACTCTATCTTTTGTGAGATCTCTTGTACCAACAGTAGGGAATTTTGTACATTTTTCAGGGAAATTTAGTACCAAAATGTGGTAGTGGTACCCCTGTGGACACACTGGTACTGGTAGTCAGTAGTACTCACTCTAGAGATGTGCCAAGCAGTTACTTGGGCGAAACAGCTGCAGCTAGTTCCAAGGTCGCCGTGGAACTCGTTCCAAAAGCAGTTCCAGCTGCAGCTGGTTTTGCCCGCTGCAGCTGGTTTTCCCGCTGCAGCGGAGCTATGGCTGTAGTGAGTGGAACGAGGCAAAAGGGCGGATGAACAAAATCTCAGTTTATTACCATAATTTGAGACGGATTAGTTTAAACTGTTCTTGAATTAGAATAGGTATTGTTTTAAATAATGCAAAATAGCAGCTATAAAGAAATCAATATCGTGTTTTGGAAATGTTGTACAAGTAATTAATTATTTTAGTTTGTCTATCTAGGGTCTAAAAATAATACGTGACAAGGCCGGTATAAATTATTTTAGAGGTCCTTCATATTATGCATTTATAATTATACATTTTATTTTAAGAGGTGTTAGAATAATATTATTCAAACACCTCTTACACTAACTCTTAATATAAAATTCTAAAGTTAATAGCGAAAAAATCCTGAATTAAGTTAAACACAAACAATTATTACGGTACTGATTACTGAGGAAGAGATGATTAAATTTGTATATATTATGAGCACGACTTAACTGGGACTGATGTACTTTTATTTAATTCCTGCCTGAAAACAAAAACAGAAAAAATGATTAATTTCTTTTAAGGCATGTCAACCATATCCGCTAATCAAACCTTTGTTTACAATAGAGTCAATAGACCAAATAAGTCAAAACGCATCAGCTGCACAGGCAGCACAGGCTAGCTAGAACTTAATGTTTTAGTGAGAGTATTAATAAACCAGCTGCAGCTGTTTTGTTGTAACTGTATGTGTTTTACAAATCCAGTTACTCCGGAACTTATCTTTAAAAATTTACAAAAAGGCTGCGCAGCTGTTTGTGCGGAACTACATTCAAATCGTTCCACCATTTCGCGTGTTGAATCTTGAGCTGAGTTGTTTAAGATATTAATTCATACCTTTAAATAACCCTGTGGTTGTCTTTAACCTAATTTTGTGTATCCCTTATGTGTTCACTAATACATTCTGTAATGTAATAAGTGGGTAAGTGGTATTTTAAGCCTAATTTAACCTTAAATATTTCTCTATCTGTCTTTTACTCTAGACCTAGCCTATCATAACCACATAGTTAGCTTACAACACCTTACACAAAACACCTGGCTGGGCCTGACAACATGTCAGGGTCAGGTTCAGCCCAATCCTCGGATGAGACATTTTCGATAACATCAGAATATCAAAAGGAAACAAATGAAGCTGTAGCCTCAATAATCAACCTTCACCAAGGCCAAAATGATAATGACACTATGGAAACAAATACAGATAACCCTCTTAAGAGAAAGCAATCTTTAGAGTCAGTCACAGAAAGTTTACCCCCAGGTGATAACAGGTACAAAAAACAAAATACTAGACGTAAAAGACAATATAATCTAACCAATGAAGGACCTTTTGAGGTCATTGTACAAAGCAGGGATAAAAACAAAATCAACCCTTTTGCTGTTGGAAAAATTATAAAAAATAACCATGAAAAAATTGATTTCATAAAGCGAGCTGGAAAGAATGTCGTAGTTACTTGCAAAGATGCACATTCAGCCAACCAGTTGGTAGACTCCCCCCACCTAGTACACTATAATGTTTTCATACCTGCCTCCCGGGTTGAGGTAACCGGAGTAATATTTGTTGAGCCTGATATTAATGAAGACGAACTTATAAATGAGGGCAATTGTGTCTATCACATAGTACATGCCAAGCGTATCACCAGGTACATAAACAGGGAAGTAATCAACACTAACTTCATGATGATAACTTTTGATTCCGACAAACTCCCGGAGTACATTTATCTAAATTATGTAAGAATGCCTGTAAAACAATACATGAGGCCTATTAGGCAATGTTACAACTGTTTCCGCTATGGGCATGTTGCCAAATCTCCATGCGACAAAACCAAAACTTGCCGAGACTGTAGTCAAGAGTATCACGAGGGACCTTGTACTACATCGATTAAATGTGCCAACTGCGAGGGACCCCACCCAAGCAACAGTAAAACTTGTCCAGAGTACATAAGACAAAAAAAGATAAACGAAAGAATGAATGACTACAAGGAAGATTACTACACTGCAAGTCAAAATGTATCGAAGCTGAACAACAGCAACAAATCACTCCTGTCTGATAGGCCTAGAGCCACATATGCTGAAAAGGCTGGACTCCACAGTCAACAAATCATGAGCCCAACGTCATCTCAATACCAATACAGTGAAACAAGTACAGACAATAAATATCTTCCTCTACAAGATGAATATGAACACGATATCAGCCCAAATAGCCTACCAGTTCCCTACAATACCAAGCCCAAATCAACTCCAACCCCTCGCAATCTGCAAGATCACACTTACCATAAAGCGCCTAGGGCTAGAACCCAAAACAGCTCACCGACAACCCCACCCCCCGTTTCAAACACCCCCCAGCAACATTCCTTTTCTGGCGGCAGCAATGTAAACTTAAAAAAACTTCTGAGTGAGAAAATAAAAGAAATGAGAAACAAGATTCAAGGAGACAACACAATCAGTAAAAATAAATTTGATGATTTATTGAACCAGTTTCAGAAAGATATAGGCCTAATAGAACCTACAACATCCAAACAAGTGGCTTCTAAAAATTTACGACAAACAACATTAAAAACTACTATTGGAAACAATAGCAATAATAGGAAATTACAAAATGCACGTTAATATAATTCAGTGGAATATAAGATCTCTACAACAAAAATGCAAAAGCCGACTCAAACTGTTGGAAAAAATCCAATGGTAAAAAACACTGGCCAAAGCAAAATAGGCCTAAATATTGTACAGTGGAATGCCAGATCATTGCTTCCAAAGTGGCCTGAATTTAACAGGTTACTTTATCTTCATAAGATACACATAGCTGTAATACAAGAATCTTGGTTAACTAAAGACAGTATTATAAGAGATAGTAACTACACAATAATTCGCGAAGATAGAAAGGATGGGTATGGAGGTATTGCATTTATCGTACACAAAGAAATACTCTTTGAACAGGTAAAAATACAAGTCGACCTGGTAAAAGAACCTATACAAATGAGTGCAATAAAAATTAGGAATTATAAAGTGCCAATCACTATCATTAACCTTTACTGCCCAAATAATCACATTAATACAAGATTTTGGAAGGAAGCTCTTTTTACAGATGATAATACATACAAAATTGTGTGTGGAGATTTTAATGCTCACCACACATTTTGGAATTGCAACAATATTGATGCAAGGGGCAAAGCAATTTTTGAAGCTTACGCTGACTCACAATTTATCATCGCTAACGATGAAAACCACACAACTGTACCCTCAGTATACAGAGCACCCTCAACCATTGATTTAACTTTCATCACCCCAAAACTATATATATTGCTTAACAGTTGGGAAGTACACAATGATGCTATCGGCAGTGATCACTTTCCAATTTTTATAAGCTTTGACACACAAAGTATTGACAATGATTCAGGCAAAGGAAGCAAATTTAACTCAACTAACAATAGGAGAAATTTCAAACTAGCGGATTGGAAGGGCTATAGTAACATAATTAAAGATGAAGTACATGCAGTAGAGCAAAACAATATTGACTTAACCGACAACGTAGCTAATTTGTATACAATTATAAATAAGGCAGCTGAAGATACTATCCCGAGATATAAGAGCTTTCCTGGAAACTCACACAAATTTCAGGCAAAGTCATGGTGGAATCAAAACTGCTCCAGAGCAATAGCCGAAAGAAGGCTATCGCTAAAATTGTTCAAAATAAACATGACACCACTCAACTACCATAGATATCAACTAGCACAATTCAAAGCTAGAGAGATTATTAGAATAGCAAAGAAACAAGAATGGGAAAAATTATGCAAAAATATAGGTGAAAAAAAATGCTCACAATACGCCTGGAAAGTTGTTCGCAGATTAAAAACCAATCAGAACCCTGATAATAACCCATTACACAATAAACCTGAACTTAAAGATAGTGTTATCAAACAATTAGTACCTGATTATGTCCCCAACCAACCTGAACTTGTCATATTGATCAAAGAAATCAACCAATCCAAACATTTCTTGGAGGAAAATTTTACAATAAATGAGTTGAACGTTGCATTATATTCCAAAAGTAAAGACACATGCCCCGGAAATGAAAATATCTCCTATAGTATGATTAAAAATCTACCTATGGTAGCTCTGGAAAAATTGCTAATTATTTATAACAAAATATGGAATAACAAGATTCAAATCCCTCTCCAATGGAAACAAACCAAGCTAACTGCATTTCCTAAACCTGGCTATGACGCAACAAAAGCTGAATCTTACAGACCAATTTCTCTAATCTCGTGCTTCATGAAAATTATGAACACCATGATAAAGAACAGATTAGAATGGTTCATTGAAAACAACAATCTGATTCCAGATAGCCAATATGGTTTTAGAAAAAGGAGGGGATGTGGAGACTATCTAATTCATCTCTCCTCAGAAATCAATGTAGCTATGACATATAAAGAATATATGCTTCTAGTATCTTTAGACCTGACCAAAGCCTACGACAGAGTTAATGTTGGTGTACTTTTGAGAAAAATGTACATATTTGGCATCCCAAAACGGTTCATAAATCATTGTCACAACTGGCTCATAGACAGACCGATAAACATGGGTTCAAGCAGCTCCGATCACACCAGAACTACGTGCAGGGGATTACCGCAAGGCAGTGTCATCAGCCCTATCCTATTTGCCCTATACATTTCAGACATTAATGATGAATTACCTTCTAATGTCAAGTCATTACAATATGCTGATGACATAGTGATATACAGTTCCAATAAGGATCTTAACACCACTAACTCTGACATCCAGAATTCACTTGAGCAACTGGAAAAGTATTTTTCAGGACTGAATTTAGAGGTCAATCCAAACAAAAGCAAAGCAATTTGTTTTACAAGAAGTAGAAATTACAATAACAATACTGTAAATCTATCAATCTGCAATGAAAATATACCTGTACAAGATCACATCAGACTGTTAGGAATCACAATAGATAGAAAACTAACTTTCAAAGAACACATCAACAACATCCATCACCAAACTTTGAAAGACCTAAACATACTCAAAATAATATCATGTGGGAACAAAGGTGCACATCCACGCTTTGTCTTAGATATTTACCAAAGCCTTGTCAGACCAAAACTGGAATATGCAAGCTATATATTCGGACATGCAGCCAATTGTACACTGAAAAAACTAGATATGATACAAAATCAGGCTTTACGAATATCAGTAGGTGCTCATAAAACCACGCCTATCATTGCCTTACACTCAGAAACAAGCAATTTGCCACTTACTGCTAGAAGAATAATGATCACTGAAAGGATTATCTACAAAATTCTCACAAATAGCGACCATCCTGCCTACTTCAACCTACTCTATCTGCATGCTACGGCTATAAACAATAAGTATTGGGCTCACAAGAACTGGCCCTTGTACATTAGTATGGCTAATGCAATAATAACAAACATAACACCTAATATTCATGACATCCCTAGAATCATGAACGAATATGACATGATAAAACCAATTTCTATGATAGAAGATAAGATTCTATGCAAAACAACCTATGATGCAACATTAAACAAAAACAAAAAGGAGGAGAATAATTATAGCCTAAAACAACAACATTTTATTACTTCCAACATAACCTATAGCAAATTTCTACAGATATTTACAGATGGATCAAAAACCGCATCCACAGTTGGCGCAGCCTTCTACATCCCGCAACTACTCACGAGCTACACGTACAAATTGAATAACATCATGTCAAATTATTCTGCTGAATTATATGCCATATATAAAAGCATTGTCTTCAGTGAGACATTGCAAAACCAAAATATAATTATTTTCTCTGACTCTCAATCAGCTATTTCAGCAATTGAAAACTATAAACACTCCAGAACAAGTGATGATATTATCTACAAAATTATCTCCAAAGCCCAGCAAAGCCCAAAACGCTATGTACTCCACTGGGTACCTAGTCACATAGGCATTCAAAATAATGAGATGGCTGATCAATTGGCTAAACAGGCAGCTAATGATGGGGAATCTGTTACGGATGTACACGTTCCTTTCAATGACTTCAAATCGTACAGGAAGAAAAGACATAGAGAAGTTTACAGTAATACAATTTTGTTCTCTGCCAAAGCCCAGTGGCACAAGATAATTCAAAAGGAAATTCCCAAAAGACCATGGTTCTATGAATCCAAATTACAGCGAAACGAAATAATCAACATTTGCAAACTCAGACTAGGTCATGCCAACTGCAACAAACATTTACACTCTAAGAACATGTATTTTACACCACTTTGCCTTCGATGCACGTTAGGCCAAGAAGAAACTCTCCAGCATCTATTTTGGGAATGCCCAAGCTATGAAGTCTTCAGGAAATCTTGCCTAAAAGAAATCTACAAAGAGTATAAGACTAACCTTGCAGCAGCACTCAGCTCCAAAAACGACAAAATTTATAAGGAAATTAACATATATTTGAAAGAAATAAATAAGAGACTTTAAAGAAACAAGAAACCTTCCAAACACCAACTGTACATAATTGTCACATTTATGTTGTCCATTCTTGGGATTCTTCATCCGTGGCCCCCCTCCCCATTTCTGGGTTAGGCAAGCCTGACGGGCCCCAGGCGAAGAAGATACCTTCTCTCCCTTCCCTAAATCCCAGGAACCCTAGATTTCCTATCTGTTTTACACATCAATGAAAAAAAATAACGTAACAAACCTCAAAAAACCATTGTGTGCTCCGTAACAAAAAAAGAAACATAACAATCAAAATAATAACAACATTAATGTAAACTGTGTAACTAACATAACCTAACCTTTGTTACAGAAAGTGTCAAATGCCCAAAGACAACCACAGAAGGATTCAGTGAGTAATAGTTAACTTTAGACATCGAACAGGCTGCGTGGAGCAATTATCCAAGCCTTGAGCCTTAAGAGCTCAGAATAAGAAAAAAAAAAAAAAAAAAAAAAAATCGTTCCACCGAGCTGCAGCTGAAAAAGTAGTTCCAGTGGAACTGGAACTGGATTGTGGTTCCGCTTGGAACGGTGGAACGAGTTCCACTCTCGGAACGGTGGATAAATGTAGTTATGTAGTTCCAGCTGCAGCGACACATCTCTAACTCACTCACTCCACCACAGTTAGTTACAGTTCCACACTCCACTCAGTGCAGTACTGCAGTGCAGTGCAGTAGTACTAGTTTAGTAGTCGAGTAGTCAGAATCAGAAAAAGAAAGAAGCCTTATTTATTATTTTACTCCATATAGTCCATTCCATTTTAAAAAAATGTTAGTGCAGTGATTACTTATTCCTGGTTGCTGTTGCGCTGTTGGGATTTTACGTTTAAAGCCGTAGGCCTATTACTATTACTATTAAATCAGTGTTTCAGTGACGACAGCAAGTTACATTTTTCCGGAGATTTAATCCAAGGTAAACATAGCCTTAAACGGATCTCTGTTACCCTCTAAGTTAACATATCTGTTGTATTATAAGTAACATAACTTAGTCTTAACCCTCCGAGTGTCCATAGTTTAGGCCTTAATGTCCACCTATTTTTGGCCCCTTTGCAAGGTTTTATTAAAACGGATCTGAGAAGCTTAAAACAATGTCAATTCTAATGTTCTATATACCATTTTGTTTGGAAAATCATGGGCTTCAATATTATATATAAAACATAAGGAACATTTTTTCAAAAAAAAAAATTTTTAGGTAAAAAAAAAATATAATTTCAAAAATTTTCAAAAAAAAAATAAGTTCGCGCTCAATAAAATTGTATAAATTATAGGCCTATAAATATTTGAAAATAGCCACTTTGTTCTAAATTTAATGAGGATTACAAATATATAATCATATAGCGAGGTAAGTTATCAAATAAATAAGTTATGAGCGAAAAACGGATTTCAGTACATAGCGTTTAGCTAAGAATGCATAGCCTAACCATAGCTAGGAATCTGGCTGATAATTTACATCAATATCACTACCTACTTCTTCAGGATCATCAACCAGCACTTCAAAACCACTTAAATCTTCTTATAATGCACCACGTATATCACTACTTTTGATTTTTAACACTAAAACAATGATAAACGTAATAAAACACATCAGTCATCGGTCCGGGGGAACCTAGCTGTTTACAAATACACGCACGTCAGCTGTCTGCTACAATATTTTCGGAACTAAAATGAATAGCGCTTAGAGACAGACCTCTGGAGAAAGCTTAGAATATTACGGAAAGAACGATACCTAACTCGATCCAGTTCAATCCGATTCAGTCAGTCATAGAGCCTTCGCCATAAACGATGTTTGTGCGTCATAAAAGTGACGCGTGACCCTACACAAAGTGTGTTGTGCGTCATTTTTATGACGCGTGACACTCGGAGGGTTAACAAGTTCAAGTATGAACAAGCATGTAGGCCTAAGTTAGTAAGCCGAAATGGCTAGAAAATATTCAGGCCATAAGTTACCTACGACTAAAATGCAAAATAGGTAGTCATAACTTAAGTAATAGGCTAGGCCTAAGTCAGTCATTTATTTGCCCAGATTTACAGTAATGCATTGGCTATAAAAAATACAACGTGTCTTAGGCTATAAGCTATATAAAATGACTAAGTTACTTAACCAAACAATATTTAGAATTAAGTTAGGCTAACTAGAATAGAACTAACTTCATAATAGGCCTATAATATAGGCTAGCAGCCTAACAAGGGTAGGCCCCTACACTTCTGTTGGCACAAACAACCGAATGTAAATATCGTTTGATATATCGGTTATTCGATATATCTTTTGGTTCCTATTTAGGTAAGGTTAACCTAACCAAGGCTATCTAATCAAACGGTACATATTAAATTAAACAATCGTATAATAAGAAATAAATACTAAGTTACTCATTCGGTTGTTTGTGCCAACAAATAAGATGGAAGTGTACCTTTACCTACTCGCCTAACATGCCATTAGTAAGTTAGTTCAGTGAATGTTCAGGAACAGTGTTGTTAAGTGTTGTAACGCAACTCGGACTTCGTTCTAACTATCCAATAGTTAAGCCTAGAGTGCCTAAAACAAATTGAGTTAGGCTACACGACGACTTGCCAATAAAAACCACAACGCGAGTTATCACCAGGTGGGGTCTACTCGGCCACTATAATCCAATACATGACTCTAATGCCCATGCTAACAATCAGACCGTTCACTCAATAATAATACCATATAATAGTACTGTACAAGTATACTATAGACAGAGGGACTAAACCTCTAGTAGGCCTAGCTGGTTTTAATAAATACCAAACCAAACTAGCAAAGCTAAATGTCAATTGCACTACTATCAAATTATTGAGCTAGCCTACTTAATAGTACCAGAGAAATAAATATTAAATACGTTCCAAACACTAGATAAATACTTCTGATAGCCGGTACTCCGCTATCCAAGCTACCAAGATAAGGCCTAACGTGTTGGATTACTAAACAAGCTGTTCAGGTTAAATTAAAATAATTAAATGATTAATCAATTTAACAACTTTAATCCTACTACTACTACTGCTACTATATCAACTTTATATTACTTAGCTGGGCTTCTGTTAATAGACTAAATAAAATTAGCTACTAGCCTACTGGCCGCGTGCTTCCAACTATGCACGCCAAATCGTGCAGCCTAGGTTTGTCGGGCCTCAGAGTTATTAGTAACTTAACTAACTCTTTGTACAACGCAAAATATCTACTACAGTGAATAAAATATATTATTTGCGCTTTAGCGCCTGCCCAGAACTGTCAGGAATATACTTAAATATTATTCCTGACACCTGTAAATCCTAGCTACCGTCAGGCTTTGACCAGCATGGTTACAACTCAACCAATAAAATCAGAGATGAATGTTTTAAATATTAACCATCAACTCTTAAACCAAAATGTAAGGAACGTCGTCCACTCACCAGTAGCGGGTCTCAACCCAACTTAACACCGACACTCCCTGTCCACCAGTCTCACTTCACACCACCAACGTACACGGCTTTAGTTCCATTAATATTTGTGAGCGCAGAGGAATTTTGGTACTTCGGTATTATTCGGAGGCCACCCTTTGTACAGCCCGCTGCGGCGGTTATGTTAGGTTGGGTTATCATAAATATGTTTTTAGAACTTTCCTCGTTTCATTATGAATCAAACGATACTAGATGAGTCATACTTTCGCTCGCCAAATCTCCAAGTAGGTCAAGGTGAGGTTGTTGACCAGAGCGTGCGCATCACCTGAAATTGCCTGTATCTGGTGTGGTAGCTAGCGGTGGCGACGCATTCAACTCAATCCTCGCCGACATCGCTGCCTTCTGAGAGGCAGAACTCTAAGGCCGCTAATTTGTCAAATATGGACAAAAGGCTAAGTCAATTAAAGTATGTTCTTTTTCCATTTATCATAACCCAACTGAAAATGACCACCACAACACGCTGTATAAAGGTGGCCACCCGAGGATAATACCAATATTACCAATAGGCCTAGTACCAACATTTTTGCACCATTATTTTCAGCTAAAAATATAGTTTCTGGTGATATAAATATATAGGTTCCCATGGTCATGTAAATCGCAATCATTACCGAGTTTTCCTCGGGGCGCATTTGTTGTTATAGAAAAATATCTGATCGCCAGCTGGCAACTTAAAGAGTAACATTAGGTACCTCAGGTCACAGAAAACATAGGTACTAGCCTACTATAACCCATGCACTCAGCATAGCAACGCTGGTGGCGCTGCCTACGAATTGACAGGCAAAGCTCTCTCAAAACACTTAAGTAATGCTTTTTACTATGCGGTTGGCATTCTGGGTTATAGTAGTATGTTTTCTGTGCTCACGTGCATCTTTCTAGGAACTGATGGAACATTATTTCATGATCTCACACCTCCCCCGCAACACACCTATCTACAGTTGAAGCTTAGAGTTGCGTAGACTGGAGCTCGGCTCCGTGAGTCATAGATGGTGTTGTTTTGTTTGCTATATAATAAATGCTTCTATTGATTTCAAGTACAAATTTAGCCTATTGAACTTAGCCTAAGTTACATGGTTTTAATACCTACGTTTTTGTATTATTATACTGCGAAAAAACATCACACAATCAGTCAGCATTCAAAAATGATTCAACTGTGTAACTTAGAAAGCCTTACTTTTTAACACGTTCGCTGCAGCACGTCATAAGGCAGGCGTATCGCAGTGCGACGTAGCCCGCAGCGTCGAACAAACTCGATTGCCGCGTCCACGTGATTTGCTTTCCAATTTCGGTCTGACAAATAGCAAATAACGTGCGGGGATGTCCTGCTTCACGACGAGAGTCGACATAGTTCGCTAAACACCCACAGATAGCAGCACAGCTCGGAACATAGCCGGTGCCATTGGTATTGTATTGCCAAATAGAGGGGAAAAAACGGGACAAAAAGTTGATTTTTTAGCTTGCCAGATAGGGATTTTATGGGGAAATTTACTCCCATCCTACACCACAACAAAACGCAAGTCACACACTACACGCTAACGTGGTATAGGTCCGCTTTCGACCGACGCTAGAGCAAAAAGAAGATATACAAAAGGCATTGCCAAGCGTTCCCGATCGGGTAGGGGCACACCATTAGGGGGCCGAGCACCGTGACCGATTGGGAACGGCCGCAACAACGTGTTAACCATTCCCCTATTTATAACATCACTAAATTTTGTATAAGGCAACAGCTTCACAACCTCTGGCAGTCTATAAAGAACAACAATTGTTGAGCATTTATGGCTCTTAAAATAAGTTACTTGTGCAATCTAATATTAGGGGAGCGAGCTGCTCTAGTGGTTAGAGCGCGGGACTCCGGTTCCTGGTGTCCCGGGTTCAAATCCCGCCAAATCACCAATGGATTTTATCCAAGTGATAGTGCCACAACCCCTAGGTCTAGCCTGAAATAATGTGAAAAACAATCCCGGGCTCGTGCCTAGGGTCGTAGGAAAAAATTAAGTTAGATGTAGAAGATCAAGTTCCCTCTATTTCTTGCATCATGGTCAAGATCTGAAAACTGTTGATTAAAAAGTTTATGTTTAGGCTATTTGAAAAAAAAAAACAAGACTACTGTGAATTTTAAATACAAGCAAGTGTCAACTTGGGCTATAATATATTAAATTGTGGGAAAACTTTTCTACAAGAGTCTGAGCCCAGCCATAACTCTAAGAGCCTTCTTCTGCCATTGAAAGCATCTACGGCAGAGGGTGAATTCCGCCAGATTTGTATTCCATAGGTACAAGAGATGGGTGTGGAAAAGGCCAAAGTAAGTAAGGTCATAAGCAAAACATCTTGACAAGTTTTCAGTTTCTGCAGCAAGCACTCTACTCTTGTCAGCTTTTTACAAAGACTATTACATGTACATCCCATCAGAGATTACTATATAAATTAATAGGGCCAACCAAGTAAATTAACAGGTTCAAACAAGTCTTCATCACAGTAAACATTTATCATAGTAAAAAAAGTAGGTATGAACAGTTTTTGAGTCATTGCTGAAGACTAGGTTATTTGCAGAGTACCACTCTTGAGCTTGCACCACAAGCTCAATTACGTTTTGTTAAAACATTTTCCAGATTACAATCTGAGTGAACAAGTGTTGTATAGCTTTACTGTATTGACATGGGAGAGACGTACAGAGCTGAAGTCATTTAATTGTCTAGGGTGGCCCTTTTTTCATTACATTGAGACCCAACGGTATAGCCTCCTGTGTATGGAAGAAGTGGGTTTTAAGAAACGGCCTCATGGTTGCAGATGACCTCCAGACGATTGCAAAAGGAACTGGCAGATATCCGAGTGAAAGAATTGCCGTTTTTCATCAATCTTCAGGTGGATGAGTCCAACTTGCTGGAATGGCGAGGATTATTAATTCCAAGCTCTCCGCCTTACAACAAGGGGGCATTTGTCATCGAGATCACTTTCCCCCCGGAGTACCCATTCAAGCCACCAAAGGTGAATATTGAGAGAAGCTTGTTTTTGAAGTTATGATTTATTTACGCAAAATCATTGCTTAAAAAAGTGTTGTTTTTTTATCAGTTTAGTTTGGTTGAAGGTTGATACTTTTCTATTGCTGTTAAATTTTGTAAATCTTATGACCCGAGCTCCACAAAAATCAATCTTAAGTCTTTCTTTTCTCTGTAGCCTAAATAACATTTCACAATTTCTGGTATTACAGAACTCCTCACATATCTACTCTTAACTTTTATTCTATTTATCTTTCTATGGTGGAAGAACTTTAGAAAATTTATCCTTGAAAGTTGAAAAATCTTTTGTAAGATAGGATATGCCCAATAAATATACAATTACCCGTATACATTTCTTTATGAATTGAATTTAGTTTATTAAATCTGTGCAAACTTATTATTTGAATTTGTTAATTATCTTTTATCTCTAGTGTTTCTCTGTTTTAATGTTTGACATTTTAGCAATATAAGACCTATAATCAAACTATGTAGGCCCTACTCATAAAATTATCATAAAACAGTTAAAGTAATATAGTCTAAATGATTCAAACTAATTCATCACAAATATATGATAAATTGGAATTGATATAGGCCTTTAAAATTATTGCTGGTACAAATTTTACATATCGTAATCACAAATTGTAATATTGGCCAGTAAAGGCATTTAAAATGAGCTTCTTTCAATATTTACCCGGTCGTAGGTGATCTTCAAGACCAAGATCTACCATCCCAATGTCGGTGAAGATGGAACAGTCTGCGTTTCGCTGCTTCACACAGACAATTGGAAACCTTCCACTAAGATTGAGCAAGTTCTGGAAGCCGTTGCCTCCATGGTAGACTGTCCCCAGCCTGATCATCCGATGCGAGCTCAACTAGCCGAGGAATACATCAAGAATAAGAAAAAGTTCCTGAAAAACGCTGAAGAATTCACTATCAAGTATGCTGAAAAGAAAGGGAAATCTTCATAGTTCCTCAACTGTGTGATTAATGAGAAAAAAGACTTTTGCTTTACGTTTTTTTACCAAAGTGTGTAGTTTTAGTTTTGTTGAAGTTTTTGTACCATAGTACTCAAAGATTATATTTTGTGAATACATGAACTTTGTTAAAACTACAATGCTGTTTTTCTTTCAAGTAGCCTACTTGTGTCTTTTTAAATTATACTTACCGGTAATCCAAATACCCCTGCAGCAGCAAGTGAAAGTTGATTTTCAATTAAATGTATTTAATTAACATTAGGGTTTATGAGTAGTCTTGTTGCTACAGGGAGGGTAAAAAATAGTGTTTTTTAGTAAAATATTAATAACTTAGCGTAAAATAAGTAAATTTACCAAGTTTGATCAAAATATATCCATAAACAAGCAAACTACAACATTTTACAATATTCTTCATAAGAATAACATGGGAATTTTAAAATTACAATTTTTTGATGGTGTTTAAAGATGTCTACTGAAGAGTGTGACGACTAGAAGGTCATCATTACAGTGACGTGTAGGAACTGGGAGGGAACGTGTTTGTAATGAATTAAGATTAATTGTCAAACTACCTTATGATTTACCTAGAGAACGTTAGTTTTCTATAGGCCTAGAGTTATAAGAGTAAAAACAACTTACTTCATCAAAGGATTTTTTAAATGTACTACTGGAGTAACCAATTTAAATCAAAGTTTAAAACTAAAATGAGGCTCACAACAAATAATAAATAATGGGATAAAGGTATACACACGAGGACTGTCCGTATGAGATCTCTAACAAGTTTCAGTTACAGCCACGTAGGCTATTTTAAATCTGAAACCAGCACCGTGATCTTTAATACTTTAACCACGCCACTATTTAAGCCGGTATTTGCAAAAACCTTTTGACTGAAAAATTTCAGATTTGATGTGATTGTGAAACATCAGTCTCAGGGGTTGTACCATTATCACTTCACCTCTATGCAACAATTAGTTTGCAACAATGTGAAGGAAAATCAAAGCTTAAAACTGGATTTCTATCTAATGTGGTCAACCCCTATAAAGTTCATCGCCAGTTGATGAATGAATGTCAATGAAATTTACCTAGAAAATTTGTGTAAGGGGTTAAGGGAGTTTAGAGATAGACACCAACACTTGCCGGAGGTTTACGGTGTTTTCACAGCTGTGACTTAACTGTTTTGTTTGGGAGGGACCAAGGTTAGAGGGATTTTGCATGTGTGACTGGTCAAGAGATTGCTGAACAAAAAGGTTGTCTGCTACTTCAAACTAACTGTTGCAAGGGGGGGGGGATTGGGCTTGTAGGGTGGTGAGGAAGTATAGAACAGTGCTGGTGTCAGATTTCAAGCTTACTTGGTTGCTACTTTAGATCGTCGGAAAACTTAATCCAAACATAATCCCTTTACTCCTCTCTTCCATTTCTATTAAAAAAAGAAATTTACCAATCATTAACTGAGAAGTATTAATATAGGCTACAGTGTATTTAATATAGGCCTACCTACAGTGAATAAGTTCTCTGACATTAATTTAAACCATTTTTAACTCAGTCATCAGTTAAAATTTATTGCTGGTAATACTTGAAACTCAATTTTTTTATTTGTAAAAAATAAGGATTAACATTAAATCTAGAAATGTATCAGATTAATGTGGTCAAACTAGATAGGTAGATGGGCCAATATGTCAAACATATTTGAAATGTACAATGTACACAATTTTAATATTATTAACAATTAGAAGTTATTAATTTATTTTTGATAATTGATTCAGATACATACCTACCCAGCTACATTAGATACATAACACTATTCATTAATATTTTGCTATAAAAGGTCCACACATTAACCCCTAAAGGCTAAATCTATTTAGGCTCCTTTAGAACAAGATACAATTGATATAATTGATACATCTGGACTGAGGAACATGAAGGTAAATGAATTAAACAGAATCGTCGCTAGCAAGACGAAGGTGGGTAAGTACATATGCTTTACATACTTACTCTCCTTTGTCTTGCAATCGATGAATTGTACAGTAATACAATTTTAAAAGCTGATAAAATTTTGAACAATGTGGAGCTGCTTTCTCATAGATAAGTAGGGTGAGTGCACCAGAGTGAATGACCTTCGGGTTAAGGCTTAATATTTAAGTTTAATGTAGGTTTCCACGTGTCTGCCATAAGAAAATAGGTCACTAATTCTTTTTATAATACGGCGCTCGGCACAACGCTATGACCAAAAGCATGGCACATGTTTGTGCGACGGCTGTGGCAGTGGTGGGGGTATCAGGGCTACCAATTTAAGGATTTCTTTTCCAATAGTTAATAGTGATGGTAGAATCGAAAACTGTTAATTTAAATAATACTAAAGACTTGCTGGTTGGAGCACCACGCTGAAACTGACTGGGGCCTTTTTTTTAGAATATGAATTCATAAGTCATTGAAACAAATTTGAAAATTTCACTGACGCTAAAGAGTTTATAAATCAAAACAAAAAGATAATTTGTATTACATTCCAGCGAAATGGGAAGAAGGAAGAGTAAGAGGAAGCCTCCTCCTAAGCGTAAAGCCATTGAACCTTTGGACACCCAGTTCAACTGCCCATTTTGCAACCACGAAAAATCTTGTGAAGTGAAAATGTAAGTCTATAGAATTATAAGAGCTATGACATAAACTTACCCTAGATAGTAAATGACTAAAAAAGGAGACTAAAAATTAAGTTTAGTCAATTTAAAGATAACTAGCCTTTATCTTTAGTCAGCTACACTCTCACTTGGAAAAATTACAACAAAGCATCAGTGCAAATTTATTAGCAGCTGCGCTATGAAATAGGGTTCTAAATTTAATTTGCCTTAATATCATGTAGGATTGATAGGTAACCTAGCGTTCCCTAAACTTAATTGTGACAATTTGGAGTAAATAGGTGCAGATTGTGGATGAATATTCAATATTCATAACATATAAAGTTGACTCAATTTTATTAAATATAAAGTTTCATTCAAACTAAATAATTCACTGCTCAAACTTCATTTTTAAATCTCATTTGTATGCATAGAGCAGAAATATATTGACTAGCCAACATATTTTTTTTGTTACTAGATTGTTCTTGAGGCACTACAGTTTCTTTAAGGGATTTGCAGTCTTTATATGAATCCAAACTAATGATGATTTTTGGCCTCTAAAGACCTCAAAACGTAAAACTAAATCGGTCCCGGGTCCAGTGTCTTAGCATGAGACTTACTGTAATAGCTTATCACCTACAAGAAGGTAGCCACATTCACAAAATAATCTTGGGGTTTACAATCATTAATTTTTAAAGTTTTTGACTGTTCAGAAATATTTTGTGTTACTGTATTGGAATTGTAAATTTTTCAGTGACAAAGCCCGACTTTCAGCAAGGATTACCTGTCTAGTATGTTTGGAAGATTTCCAGACGACGATTAACTTTCTGTCAGAACCGATTGATGTTTATAATGACTGGATAGATGCATGTGAGACTGCTAATTGATTCAGGTTAGTGTACCTTACTATTTCCAAAGAAACCTATTTTAAAAGGCTTCGTACTGATGAGGAAATACAAACAAAAGCACATAGAGTAGGGGTTCACATTAGCATAAGCAATCATAAGGAACTGGATTTTACAATAAAGTAATACAAATTTACTCTTTAGGAGCGTCTATATGACATATGAACACTTCTTTGGTAGCCTGTAATATTTATGATGGGAACTGAGCATCTGATTTGTACAATCAAATTGAATTGCTATACCTGATCGGGTTGCCAGAATTCTACCTCCAGAAATTTACCCCCCACGGAAAAATGCCTCCGTCATTTTGATGTCACAGGTCTGGTGATATATTTCTGGACCCACATTTTTAGGACGAATAATTTATTATTCATTTAATCAACTCACGTTTCACGGTTTAGTTAACAGTTGTAATTAATAAAAATCCCAATATACCTGACACCGGAATTCTACACCTGGAAAGTGGAAATCAAACCCCGTGGTCGAATTAGACAAGTCCAACACCAGAATTCTACCCCCGGAAATCTACCCCTCTTGGTCGGCTAAGCTACGTATCGGCCAAGATTCATTAATTGTTGTAGTTGATTTTCCTGACCTAACCTAACACTAGATAATAGAAAGTAATGAATAACCGAATAGCCGTTGATTTACATAATCTAATCAATGAAATCAACTGCAACAATGAATCTTGGCTAATACGTTGCGTAGCTGACCATGGGGGGTAGATTTCCGGGAGTAAAATTCTGTGGTATGGAAAAATCACTTCATCAGCAAAGAATTACATGTTGATTATTTAATAATATATTGGGGGTAAATTTCTAGTCACAGCTGTTTTTCAACCGTGCATAGAACCCCTCATAACGTAAAAATGACGTAATAGTTTTTTCATGGGGGTAGTTTTCTGAGAGTGGAATTCCGCTACCCCACCTGATCATTAATGTTTTTTTTTGTTTTAGTCGTAGTCCTAAAACGGTTTAGTAAATTACTATTGTTTGTTGATCTTTTTTATTAACTTTACTATTGTTTTACATTGTTGTATAGTTTCTTTGTACATTAATGACAACTACTATTGCCAATACACTGTATTTAGGGTCCATAACAAATATCTAGATTCTATGAAATAAAGGAATATAAATGAATAAATGGGAATTTCATAAATCCGATGCTATTATACAAGAATTACTAGAAAAAATATCCTGTCTAAAAAAAGACTGCATGACAAAAACAAAGATTTTTTTGAATTTTTCAGTCTATAACATTGTCACTTTTAAACACTCTGTTAAATTATGAGAATGAATTTGAGTCCATTATTTATGAATAAATTAATAAACCTTTCTTGTTAAAAAAAATATGTATAAATTGTGAACATGTCCTCTGGATGTGGGGACATTATTGTCCTCGACAATCGCGGCTTGAATAGATTTTTCTTACTTGTTGTTTGATCACTCTAAGACTCGGTTTGGCTTGATGGTCGAGTCGCTCGCTAGCCTCGAAGTTTTTCAAGAATAGAAATCGTATCATCTTGCTGGAGTATGTTGATCAACATCAGGAATATTGCCATGGTGTCAAGTTCAGCACCAGTTTTAAAAGACTTCATGATGTACTCACATATTTTGTGTATAGATATTTTGAAAGTATAGGCCTAGGCCTTTATCTCTAAATATTAGATTTTTGTGTATTGTTGGATATTTATATACATTAAAATGTTTTTTCCAGGTACCACTTATTTAAGCCAAGGATTTAAATAGCCTATGTCTCAACACATCATGAAGAAATTGATGTTCTGTTTACTGTGAATGTGATTTTAATTAGTTTAGGTTTATCATAGAACCTTTTTTATCTTACATTTTTGTCAATGTATTATTAGAAATAGAAAGAGTTTTACAAGAATGTTTAGTTTTATTGATTCCTGTAGCTAACATTGTCTAGAGAAAGTTAGTTTTTCGTCATAAGCATTGACTAAATGAAATGTACCTTATGATTTTTTTTGCAAACCCAGTAAAGCTTGCTTTTTAAAAATACTGTACAGCTTCCAAAAAGTAGGATTCAGAATAGAAGGGGAGAGAATTGACAATTTGTTCCATGTTAAAAGGTGTGAATGTAAAGAAAGTAAGAGCAATTTTAATTTAGTACATATTTTCTATGAAAAGAGTTATGCTCCAGCAAAAAAGGGCGTTTAGGGTGATTTTTAATTCGACACTGATAAAAGCTAAGGTAAGGCAAGCTTTTAGATATGTAAACATATTCAACATCTACAGTCTTCTCATTTAATTAAGAGTCAATTCAATTTGTGATTCAATCAATGATAAAAATTGCAATAGGTAACAATGTTCATAATCTTAAGACAGGATCACACCGATTGGTAGAGCAGCGCGATTTGGAATTTTAAAAGAAATAAAAACCAGTTTGCCAAATAGGCAATTGCCGATTGAATGAAACCCTCTTTTGGATTTTTTTTTATAATTTCAAAGTTGGTATAAAGTAGGAAGGTGGTATAAAAATAGGATTCCTAAATTCAATCAGCATTCTATCCTGTTTAAGAATTTGTTGTCTGCAAAATCACTTTAAGAGAAAAACATTATCACCATCCACTGTTCTTGGTTTTCTTTCATCACTTAAGTATAGGGTTTAGCACATTTTAACAAGAGTAGAGTATACACTTTTTCATATACCCATAGCTGTACCTTTAATGAAGCAAAATAGATTTGATTTCAGTATAAAACTATTACAGAGAAGCAAAAAAAAATATATTTTTTACCAAGAATGAACAGGACCAAATTTTAAAGATAAAAAATTGGTTTTGGATACCTACAAAATATTGTTTGTTTGTGGAAAGATTTTCTTTATTATCGTTTTTTAAACTTGTATAGGCCTACTTTGTCTTTGTCTTGCAAAGAAAAATTGAAGTAATCCTCTAGATGTTGTTAATTACTTGAAATATAGCCTTTACGAGTAAGAAAAAAAAAATTAAACCATACAAAATCAACTTAGTAGAAGAGCCTTTGGATGAGTTTTTTTTTCTTTTAATTTTAAAAGAAAATTATTCCTGCCAAGTGAGGCAGGAAGAGTAATATCTTAGCAAACACTTTTTACCACTAGTATTGATAAAACACTCATTGTGAAAAAAATATATTTTATTTTCATGAGAAAATTCATGATCAATGCACTATGTTCGCAAATTTTTATCAACTCAGACCATTTCTACTTACAAAGATTGTTCACAGATTTTTCAAATGGATTTTTCCCAGAAATGTATCTTCAGTTGGATATCCCTTCTATGAATTCATCAGTGTTCCATAATGCTTCTGTTGTTGTTATTCCAGGATTATGATCTTTAATTTGTTGTTCCAAATTTGCCTCTTCTAGGAGAATAGCCGTGATATTATCAGGGCTTTGTTTTTCAAAGGTGACATTAAAATTACTATCACTATCATATCTATTCATCTCTTTATCATGCGTAGTTTCATTGTCCCGCTTACTCTGTGGTTCCACTGTGTTATTCTCCAGTTTTTCAAGAAGGCTATTTGACGCATTGGAAGGTACTGCAAGGAAGTTTTCCTTTTTTGTAGAGTTTGTGCCGCTACTTCGATTGTTATTAAGTTTGTTCATAATTTCCGATACATTTTGGACCTCGGTACTCCGTTTTTGCTTTCCACCATGAGATTTGAACAACCAACTCCAATACCAAGGTTGATGCCTATTTTGACTTTCTGGTATATTCTCTGTGTTCATTCTTAACATAATTTCTTGATCATTAGTCATAATTTTTTTTTCATTCTGATCATCCAAGTCATTGAATAAATTTGATCGCTTTCTTCTGCTTCGTGTAAAACTATCGTAAGTAATTTTACCGAATGTAATTTTAAGTACTTCTCCTGTTCCTTTATACTGCCATTTGACGTGGTCCTGGGGCACTAATGGCTTTTGTCCGAAACCTAATTTGTTGTGATCAAACTCCGGCTCTGGTTTTTGAATATTTGTTTCTATGTCTACATGCTTAGACAAATAATTTTCCTGGTTGTAGTTTACATTTGGTTCAATATATCTTTGGAGTTTGAGGGACCCATCCTCTTCTGATATCTGTGCAAGACAAAAAGATAAAATAAATACTACTGACACAGCAAAACCTGCAGACTAAGTCGATTTCAAGTTGCTTCATTCAGTTACGGGTTCAAAATACAAAAAAGTAAACTCTCAAATTGATCTTTACAAATAAAAAATACCTCCGCCACAGAAAACCTGCAGACTAAATATATTTCAATTTACCTGGCTAGATTAACAAAAAAATAATCAGATTCATCTCATATTTATTTAAATAACATTTATTTTAATGATTTAGTCATTACAAATCATTAGCAGTTCCGTTCATTCTTCCAATTAGTACATTTTCTGTCCTGTCCATATGTATATTTTCCTGTACATCCTCCACGGTATGCATGGAGAGGTTCCGTCGCGTAGCACAATCATGCAGTGGGTTACTAACTTTAGAACAACAGCTTCTGCGTTAAAAAAGAAGCTAACTGGCCGTCAGATCGGACAACTAACATTCGATAGAGATTGTGCTGCTGTGGAAAACAGTCCTCGTAGGTCCGTGCGAAAACAAGTTGCTGCTTTGAACATGTCTGACCACTTGGATACACACATTTTGAGGCTCGATCTTAATAACTTTCATCCTTAGAGATAAATTTGAATAAATCTGTTTAGATTTTTTGACTCTTCATATATATGGATAATCGTGACGGAACCTCTCCATGTGGACCTAATTGAAAGAATGCACCGAACTGCCGCTGAGTTGTAATGACTGAATCATTACTTTTTAAATACAACTCAATAACTGTTCCATGACTACAGATAATGACAGAGTGTAAGCTTTCCAACAAGCCTACCCCCACCACCCTCAGACGACCTGTCGCTGAACAGTGTGCTGCAGAAAATAGATTGGTGTTTTTGCCGCATCCTGTACATATATTACAATTTGAACGAATAGTAAATTTTTATTTTTAACCTCTGGGGACATCAAAAATAAAAAAAGTAAATCGGTCCCCGGCCTAAGTCTTACCGTGCCACCTACCGTAAATAGCTACTTCTCTGTAGGAAAATTTTCTAAAAATGCTATACAAAATATTTACTTTTTCAACTTGAGACATAAGGTTGTCTAGAATAGTATATATAAATTTAAAAAATAGCCTATGGATTCACCAGACCTGAATTTCGGCCCTATTTTTAATCCTTTTTTGGGCAATAGTAATATGCTTTAGGTAACAAAATTCTGAATTCTTAAAATTGCATCAGTCATAATTTTTTTTATCTAACAAGGCACTTTATAACAGAGTTCTTTACAATTACTGATTTTTCAATTATCAATTAATTAATATGGGGACACCACCTAGGTACATATTTTAACACACATATAGTGTAGATAGTGTAGGATGTGTGTTTTAAAACATATTTTTTCAATCCCACTAATAACAACCAATAAAAGCTGTACTTACAGGTGAAAAAGTTAAGATCCCAGTGATAAAAACTAGTAGCAGACTAGAAATAAAAGCTTGAAAATTGAAGGAATACAATAATCTACCCATTGTCTCATGAGTGACATTGACAATATAACGAGTAGGAGTAGACTAAACTGGTAAATAAGTTGCGTTATCATCAGATATTTAACAGCACTCTATTCCTTTCTTGTAATTTTTAAAAGTTATATAACCTATGGTTTGAAGTTTGTGTAAACGGTGGCATATAACGTAATGTCTCTGAGTAATTTGAAACAAATTTTCTATGCTAGGTTGATTATAATAATCAGTCATAGTTTACAACAATTAATAATAAATCAGTTTGGTTAAACACTGAATTCAACTGGAATACAACTTAAAAATGTCACGTTTTGGAGTTATTTGGCTAGTTTAGGACACAAAACCTTTAATCGTGCCTAGTTTCAGATGCCTAGCTCTTCTATAAGTATGTTAGAATTTGTATACGGTACCTGATCAGTCAGTCAGCAAGCATCTTCAGTGAGAAGTAATGGTATATTCAATTAGAAGTAAGTTACAAATGTGGCTGTATATTTAATTAGATTATAGATGTATTTTCATCAGTCCAAAAACAGTTATTTTTGCCCTTCACAATTATTCCATTTTTTTCTAACCATACATCCAATGGACTATAGTTTTTTTAGTATGAACAAATACTAATTTTATCCAATCATGTCCTTGGCACTGTGTGCTCATATCAGTGCCAGTAACTATAGTTTTAATTTTCCTCGCAATTAGAAACAAGGTATTTACCTAGAACATATAATAAAACTTTATTTATACATTTCAAACAATTCAACATATGACTATGATTTTCAATCAAATATAAATGTTTAAAAAAATAAAATGAAAGCTCAATAGAGCAATGGGGGAATTGCGGCACCATCTTCAAATTGAATGCTTCGAATTTTTCGTCTAGTTCCCCGTAGCCTTAGCGAAACTGCTCGAATGATGGAAAGCTGGCTTTGGATCCTCAACCATCCGATAATTTGGGAGTATGGTTTTCTCCATTTTACAGCCAGGGCTTCGCTTGTTCTCCTCTGAAACGCTTCATATTCTTTGTGGGGGATTCCTTCCGTGGAACATATTAATGGTGTGAAGCTTCCTCTGATGTCTTCGGCTGCTTTGTCATATTTATTGTGTTTCTGAACGGCATGGTTTCGAGATATTGTTCCCCATTCTTGGTTGGCGTAAGAGGGAGCGTCAGCATTAACAATGCGATTATCAAAAAACGCTACTCTCTCAGCCTCCCAAATACCATTAACTTTAAAATCAGCTTTTAAAGCAGGCACATTGTTTGCAGGGTCAGCTTCTCTCATAATAGGCTCGACTTCAACCCCTTTCCAGGCCATATTTGCTATCGCAGCACAGTGGTCTCGATGTTGATCATGCCCATGTTTGATCAATCCTCCTTTTTTACAATTTAATGCATGTGTTAGATTCATAGGTTGATCACAACCATCACATCGTACTGGTAAATTTCTTAGTGTGCGGCCATAGCGAATTGACAAAGCATCTCTGAATTGATCCGGGGACAAATCCGTATGATCAGATGCACATGGTGTCACAGTTAACCATTGGCTAGTATTCCCTGCTACAATTCTAATTATTGGCTTCTTTTGACTTTCAGGAAGTAATTCCATAATTCGTTCATTATTTTCTTTAGCCAACATGTCTTTTTCTAGTTTTCTCTTCTTTATTACATCTTGTAGTGTTGATACATGATCATTAATCTTTAATGGTTGTCCATTTTTAATGGCTAATATTAATTTTTCTGTGCATTGTTTTGATGCTTCAAATGAAATACCATCGTTCTTTGTCGGGTCCTGAATATTTAAGCCTCCAAAACGAGTAGGGAGAGAGAACAAGTCATGTTCAAGTTCAGAAATCTCTTGTTCGAAAAGGTTGGGAGTGAAATGGCGATGTATGGCAGTTTTTAAATCTTCGTATTCTTCACTAAATCCCTCTGTTACTCTTTGGAGAAATGCCCATTCATTTTGTAATGACTTAGTAAAGGCAGTATACGCTGCTTGAGGACTTTTATGTGCAGCTATGCCAAATTTCTTTATACAATCAACCCATTTTTTTACTTTTTCTTTCACGAATTCCTTCTTTTCTTCTGAGCTACCAATAATACCCCCTAAAAACCTGTACGATGTTACAATTTTCACTTGTAGGTCTCTGAAAATTTCTTCTGCTTTTTCTTTATATTCAGGTTTTACTATCAATACACTTTTCTTGGGTTCTGGGTAATACCCCCATTTTGGCCCTTCAACACGTAAAGCGTTAAACCATTCTCTAACTTTAAGTATTTCACCGAAACATGCAGAATCATCAGCGTACCAGTTTTGCTTCCAATTTTGGCTTTTTAGTTTTTTTACCAAAGGTAATATGCCAATTGCATACATTAGCATGCCTAAAGGGTCTCCCTGAGTGGTTCCTTCTTGACTAAGGATGATTTTATTGCTTCCTCTAAACATAATGGTTGCATAGCCTTGGTATGTATTGAATAGGAAACGAGCGCAACGAGGCCAAAGCACCCTAGCATTCCACAGAGTTAAAGGCCTGCTCAAGGCGTTGAACGCATTTGAAGCATCTACAAGTAAAATACAATTTTGGTTCTTTTCATTGAATAGGTCCGTCATAGCATGTATAGCACCTTCTATTCCAGCTTTCGTTCCGGCGCAGAGTTGGTCAGATCCACATATTTCTTGAACATCTTCACCTGTTACAAAAGCCATGGTTTTTGCACATAGTCTCTGCAAAACTTCTCCAACTCCTATTGGGCGAATACCAGGGTATTTGTTCAGTGCTAATCCTCTTCTAGCTAACAGAGCTCTGATCGAGTTCCAGTTTACTATCCTGTTTGCCATCCATCGAGTTAACGATGCGACTGCTTCCCTTAAACGAGTGCTATGTGCTCCATAGCGCAGCAACATATTCTTCCATTGATCAGCATTTGTTCCGCTAGGGCCAGCACTTCCATGCAAACGTCTAGCCATCTTCTCTATGTGGTCACTGGATATATCTACATCTACCATCAATGGTAAGTTCTCATCAGCTAGAAAGGTATTGTCATTTGGAACCATTTGACGTGGGTGTTTATTTTTTAAAACTTGAAAAACATTTTGACCATCAGGAAGGATATCGTCAGGTGTGAGTACTCCATCGCCGGAGCGATCTGTGAGCCATCTTGTAGCTTCACGCAATTTTCCTTGTAATACCAATCTTGTGAAGATTCTTATTTTCTGGTCTTCTTCTTGGTGTTCTTGTGATGTTTTCATTTGCCGATCACATCTCTCAGCTTCACGTATTAATTCATCAAATTGATCATTTTCCCACATTTCCATTCTTTTCTTCATCAAACGTCTTATGTCAGACCCATTTTTTATCATTTTATCTTTTTGAAGAATGGTAGCACATAAGAAAAATATTCTTTCGGTTGAATTTATACCATTTGGGACTGCTTGGATCTCTTTGGCTAGAACATCTACAAATTGCCTTCCAATTGAACCTTGTGGTATTGTATATTGTCTTCCTTTTAATTTCATTGCACAAAGCCACCGTTTGTGCCATTCATTGTTTTCTTGAGAACTTACAGAGTTAAGAAGTGGAACTCCGAATCCTCTGGTAAATAACTTGTTCATAAAATTGTCTTTAATCATATCATCTTGATTGACATCGTCTGCTGTTGCAAGAAATTGAACACTTCCGTGGTCATAGCATTCATTGTATACAGCTTTATTTGTATTATCGGAAATTGGAGTTGGTTTGGCTTTAGTTTTTACTTTTGAGGTCCTAAATTTCACTTCTCTGGAAATGCTTTTAGAAATTTTACTATTAGTAATCATCTCATCACATATTTTATCTTTTCGATTTATTTGGCTGACTATACTTTCATTTGGAATTAAAAGTTCAAAATGTCCACAATCCAAACGGCCGGTTAAAAGTAGGTCCGCTGTAATTTTATGAGAAGATCTTGATATTATTGTTGGTTTATTTTCCAAATGGATGATTCTAGTTTTAAAATGTTTAGCTTGATAAAAGATGTTAATGTTGATTTTAAACAAGTCAGATATAACCATACATTCAACACTAGTTCCATAAGTACCATCTTTTTTCATTTCCTGGCAGTATTTTTCTTTATCAATCTCAGTTTGGTCATCATACAGGATAAAACGTTCATATTCTTTCCAGTTTGTATACATATGTTCGACAGTATTTAACCTAAGTTTTTTAAACTGATTTTGAGATTGAAATAAGAATATACTCAAAGATCTAAAAAGACAATTGCCGTCACCTAGTACATTTTGTCTTTTAAATGTTAAAGTCATTTTACTTCATTGGTCCAATAAAAAAAATTATATTAAAATAGTTCAATTCCTAAAACTGTGGAATAGATGTGAACAAAAAGATTGGTAGGAATGTTTACATAATAAAAAAATTTTGAAATCAGTATTATAAACAAATAAAATGAATATTTGAGGTTAGATGATGTTAAGTTGTGAGAGTTATTAATGATATAGAGGTATAATGTATAAAATACTTATTTGTAGAAAACCTGTCGTCTTAAAGATCTTTTTGAAACACTGTTTGAAAGCTAATTTAAAAATTATCCACTAATAATCACTGAAAATTGAAGAGCAAAATTTTTATCAACTTTATAAGTTCAACATCAGCTGTCACATACCAAACTTAAGCTGTCTTGTGTCGAATATTAAACAAAATTATTACAATATTACATAATGTTAAAAAAAATTTTAAACAATGGATTTAGCATCCACTGATAATTTTCCATTGGATTGTTTTCACATTTTCATCATCACATTTCCTTCACACCCCTCTATATCTGATAGAGTAGAATCATTGAAAAAAACTGTTGGATACAGAAGTTGTATTAATAGTCAAAGGTCACAATTTGTATATTCACAGAACAGAACAACAACAAATTAGGTGTAAATAGTAGCTATCTGACCCCAAATTGGAGTCCCCAATTAGACTTTTTTAAGCCTTGATACAATCAACGTTTGTTGTGAACACAAGAGACCTCAGAAGGTTCCTTCTATCTGTACTTAACCAACGATAGAAACATGAGATATCACTTAAAATGAGGTAGGCATAAATTACAACTAGCGTTTTAATTATTTTGTAGTGTAACACATGGAAAGTGTGACCATCATAGTAGTTAAAATTATTTAACTTGTGATTACAGCAACATTTAAAAAGGAAACTGGTTATTTAAGAAGAACACTGTGAAACAAGAAACATATTTATTTAATAACTTATCTAAAGTCAAGCAGCCCTAGGAATGTGACAAGGGAATAAAGACTATAGAGGGTACAAGAAGGTCTGACTTCACCATTAATATAGAAACTACACAACTGACAACTGTCGAGTGGAAAATAAACATTGCGTTATAAAATCACTGATATTCTTTCAACTTTTGATTTGATTTTCAAACATAAATGTGAGCAAAAATAATATTAAGCAGCTCTTAAATAAAAGAAAAAAATGAGACACCCAAAATATTGTAAAGTAACTATTTTATTTACCAATACGAATTGCAAGTAATTGTTTACGAAAAGCAAGATAAGTATATAAAAGTAATTTTTTCATTAATTATTCTATAGTGGTAGAGTTTTTTCTTTACAATTTATAAATTAATAAGATTAACAGACAATCAGTTAAAAAAATAATTTGTTTAGGTTTTTAACAGAATCTCCAACAATACATAATTCTTCTATTAAAGAAGAAAATACAGTCAATCAGTCCACAAGAGAACTAGGAATATGTATGTTAAACCCACATTGTAGAATAGTTATCATTGGTTATTGCAGTAAAATAATATAGTCAAATGATAATAACAAGTGCTAATTATAACATGTTTGTAAAACCGTTCATCAAAATATCAAAGATGACCAGGGACAGAGAACATAAAACAATATATAAACTATGCACAGACCATCTTGTACCCTTTGGTGTTCCATTAGTTTACCTCTGCGTAAAGTAGTTACATAGATTAAGAATTAATTTTGATATTTCCGAGGCAGTGGCCTCAAGTAGTCAGTAACACCAGCTTCTCATACTTCCGCCAACGATTTTATATCTCCGTTATAACAAACATATCACAGATGGCATCACACAAAGTGGCTGAAAAGCACTATATCTTACATACGAAATGATTTGTTACTTATGTACAGTTTACAGTCATAGAAAATACATACAAACATACTGTCGGTGGAGTTAGACATTTTCAGTTTGATTTCAGGAGGAACCGATGTTAAAAATCTTACATCTATATTACTCTGCCTTGTTGGTACAGTATTCGTAATTCCGACAATCATAAAGGAAAGATTACTGATTTGAAGAGTTGCGACTTTTGAGAAATTGGCTGAGCGACTGTTATTTACAAGCAAAAAAGGCACTATATCCAATGAAGCTTTCTAATGTTCACTTAGCGATACTGAAGTTGCTGTTTAGAGTGAAAATATTACTAAAGCGTTTTAAAACCGATGGTTAATTTTCAAGATTTTATTGGACATTGATTTTAAAACGATTATGAGACATAGATAGTTTGAAGAGTGATTTTATGAACGCACTTAGAATAACAGTTGGTATGATTTTAAATATTTGCTACATTTCTAATGTACTAGTAAATAATGGGATTTCTTATGGAAAATAATATAGTTTAGCTAGCCAACCGAGGAAATGTCTAATCCAGGCGCATGTACAAAAAAGATCAATCAACATAGAAACTTCTTCCTGAAGAAGTATTGTACTGCATGATGTGATCGACTTTGATCTTGTTCAACTACGATAACAAACATTGTTAAGTTCTTTGGCTTATCTTATCTATTTATAGACTTGTGGATCCCATTTTTCAGCCAAATTAGCTGGACCTTATACATTTGATAAATATTGGTCTAACCTATTACACGATAGTGCAAATACTCGTAATATGATTTTATCATATGGTAATCTTTCCTTCATTGATCTCAAATATTACCAGAAGGCTTTCAATATTATCAGCATTTAGCTTTGATGACACCAAAGTGGTTAATCTGACAGCTTAATCCCGGATAGAACAGATATAGCGATATTAGTGAATGTAAAAATGTATTGGATGATATAATTTGATTATAATACTATAGCTACTTTTATGACAAATACAAATTCATTAGAGGTTTTCCTTTTCATACTTTGAAAGTGAATAGATGTTTTTAGTTTGTCAAATAATAAAAAAGTCATCTATGTACCTTAACACTTTCAAATACAAGAAGTAAATATTGTTTTTGATTATTAAAAAACATGTTTGAATATAATTTAATTAAATTTTTTATACAAATAAAAAGATATAACATCCTTGAATTCTTTAACTCATCATCAAAGACATAATCCTTCCATTCGGTAATAGCATATAACAAAAGTATTTCGTAAAAACATTGTTAGGACTACTTTCAGTACCTGCAATTGGTACTGTTTTTAAATAATTTTACATAAGATAAATCATTAACAACACAACCTTGGATTTCAATTCACTAAAAGAACAATAATGGTTAATTAACCATTACTATTTTTAAAAACTTATTGCAGTCTATTTTTTGTTATGATTTTAAAATCTTTATGTTATTAAAGAATAAAAATAATTGTCTGTCATTATGAAACTACCTCCTGTTTTAAAGAAATATTCCATGTCGGAAACAAAATAAAACAAGAGTTAAACAACCTTGCCACTACAAGCAAGCATCCAATTTCTCGGAAAGTAAAAAAATTCGATAAAAAACGACAGCACAAACAAACATAAACGTTTAAAATGCATCTTGAAAAGCGACTACCCCTCTCGGATGAAGTCCTATAAACATGTCGGATATGCAAACATTTCTACAGTTACTTATGTACAATGCAGCTCGTTAGAAACTATGCAACAATATTTACAAAATATCGAATACTATGTACAAATGTTAAACTTTCCTATTTTAAAGAAATATATTTAATAATTTTAAATATTAATACTGTATAAATATATGTTTAAAATTACAATTAAGGTACTAGAATAACTAGTTTGGTCTAGGTAGCTCTTGGAGTTACTGGTGTCTCAGTTACCGAAGTAGACAGTTTCTAACTACTGTGATCCCTCCTCTAATCTCACATGTGATTTACTGATTACAATTACAAATACATACTCAGAATAAACAACCAATGATGAAATGCTCTACTTTAAAAATAACAGCTTAAGTTAGATATTTAAAAATTTACACAAGAGAATTTTTTCTGTAACGACTGAACAAAATTGTTCTTTTTACAAAGAGTCCGAAGTCTATTAATGAATTAGCTTTGTTTAGCCTATATTGTTTAGTAAAAATCTTCTCTAGTAATAAAAATTAAATTATTTAAAGAGAACAAGCTATTTTATTGAAACTATGACAAATATATTTTTTCATCCTAACTTATAAAACTGGGAGAGAAATAGCAAGTACAAGTTTTGTCCGTATCTATCTAGCTCCCGACTCAGCCAAGTGAGCTATAGTCCTCGCCCACCTACATATACGGCGCGCGGCCTTGGGCTGCCTTAAGTTAGGGTGGCGAGGACTATAGTCAATTCTAAGAGTCAAATCGTGTTTGTTTCTTCATACATTAAGATTCTAGGTTCCCACTCATGTGTTTAGATTAATCTTGTCAAAGTATTCAAAAAAAACATTAGGAATAAAATTTATGAGCAAAGCATGAACTGCATTCAGTGATAAGTTTTCTGTAGGAAAGGGGTAAATCTTTGTTGACTGTTGCTAGTTGACATGTGTACGCATAAAGAAGTTTTTGGTATAGGAATGGGGCATTGGCATTTTAAGGAGTTTGTAAAAGACTGTACAAATTTATACAACGGGACCGACATCGGGTTTTCATTACAGACAATGATCCAATTTAAGAAAAATTTGCTTGCTGGTCGGTTTGTTCCAGTCTTCCAGGGCAGACCGACTGACCATTTTCCTTGATATTCTTATACAAACATCCCCAAATTAGTTTGACAATCTCTCTATCCCGCTCAGTCACACCACGTGTTCCACAGGCAAAATTCCCCGACTTTGGTCACTGCTTTAAATGAGACTGCTGAACGCAAATGTTTAAGACTACCTCCAAACTCTCTCTACTCTTGTGCAAATTTTAAAGCCAACAAAATTTAATTCATTCACGTCCGTCAACTAGTGTTATACTTCAACAGCGGTTGATCACTGAAACCACAGAAATCATATCACAGTATGAGACTCATAATTCGCAGGAGTGTCAGTTTTATTTTATATTTTTGAATTTTATGACAAGACTAGTTGTCCCTTAGGGGTGGGAACTTGGAATAGTAGTGGATAAAGTAAGGAACACAATGTTGTTCTCAGATGCGAACTAGCTTGCTTGGCTTAAAAGATACCTTAATTTACGAACAACCCTCGTACATACGCTTTGGTCAGACTCTCTTTTAAGTAAAAACTTTCCTTACAACATTGAATCACAAACCAATGAAATTGTTTACAAAACATCATTGCAACCCACAAGTGGTAGTGGAGAAAATTAGAGTATTAAATTGTTAAAATTAACTATTCTAAATACAATTGTTGAATAAATACAGAGAAGTGACTTCGTAACTCTAAAATACTTTAAATAGTTTGATTCTTAAATCAAATGTATTACAGTTACATTATTAAATTATTTCCAAAAAAATATACTCTTTTAGTATAGTAAAACTGTCTACATTGTCAAAAATCTGTCTACATCTTTTACTGTTGCATCTAGATTTAAATTGTTACTTTCCTGTTTGGAGTGGTTTTTTAGTTGGTTTCTCTCAACAATGATTTTAAAGTGCCTTCTTTTTACTAATCTAATCTTAATTAAGTTCTCATCAAAGCTTATAATAATTATTTTAATTTAAAAATATCTCAATAATGTTGGTGATTGAAAAATATATTTGCATGAAAGTAAATTAAACAAATAACTCAATATATTTTATAAAAGTTGAATCATTATCTTTCTTTGATCAGTTTTGACATTTCTTAGGCAAACTCACAGTTTATTGTAATACTGTACCTTCTAAAGTTACAAGTAATGATTATAATATGATTATAGAATGCCAGATTGGCATACTGTACTTACAGACAACAAGAGTAGTGTGCAGAATTATTTTTTCTTTTTTTTTAAAGAAGTTAGTTATATTTTAAAACTAGATTTTACAATGCTTGGAACATGAGACCTTAGATTATTTTAAAGAGACTTACAGACATGTCATGAAAATTTTAACCTATTTAGGTTTGGTTAATTTAAGAAACATAAAATCCTATTATTGATCTCAAAATATACCATTCTACAAATAGTTTACAAGTTTGAACAAAAGATGATTAGTTTTTGAATATTTCCAGTTTTTTAGTGTTTCATTTGTTCCAATCAAGGCACATAACATACATTTAGCAAAGAAACCCCTACTAAAATCCAAACAGTGAAATAAAAAACACTAATACTCGTTTTTTCATTAAAACATAAATATATTTCCACACATTCGTAATATATTCACTACGACAAATTAGTATCACCACTAATTCAAACTACCAGACGATTCATAGTATTTTATGACGTAAAACTAATTCCGAGTGAAAATTATTTGAGAAATTATGTGGAATTAGCGTAAATATACGTAATAAAAATGTTAAATACTAATTAATTATTTATAAGACACTATTAAATCTTTATTTACAAGCAACAAACCGTTCGCATCAACGTACAGGACCAGGTAGAGGGTGGAGATTAGGTTAGGCTAGCTCACTCGTCGTGCAGCTGTTCCGACGACAGCATCATTTCTTTCAATGTTACGATAGTTAGAGTATATTTAAATTGTTTATCACGCTTTGGCATGCCGTTTAGTAAGATATTAAGTAGGGCCTACGTTTGCAGTTTAAACTTTTGATTTACGCTGGTTTTATTACATTTTAATGAATTAATTACTAAACTACTTCAATATGCCAAGAAAGAGATATAGATAGAACATGCTGAATAGATGTAAAAGGGTAATGTGAGATATCATTTGAATCAACAAGGCCTAACACTTTTAGGTTTAATTGAAATGTTCTTTCCAAGAAAACTAAATTAGGATATTGAAAGATAGAACCCGATAGGTCTACATTATTCAATTTTTTTTTGCGTTTACATTAAATAATATTTTCATGAAGCTATCATCTTCCTTAGCATATTATTTTAACTTTAAGAAATGTTTAGTACTTTGTTTTGAGTTGGAGTGTTTACTCATAGATTAACTTTTGTCGGTTAACATGTGACTTGATTTAGTTTATAAACATTTCTAAACACACCGATGTATGGCAATTCAATTGAAGATTACACCTACTTCTTTTCATTAAAGTGTCTATAAGGCATAAGTGACGTTATAGCAGTATGATGTAAGTATTACATCAATTGGTCCTTCCAATTTCCTAACATTAAATTAAATTAGAACAATAGCCTGTTAAAACAGGTTATAACTAAATTCACACTCAAACTCTTGTCTATTTTAGGAAGTTAGGTACTTGCTTCTTACTTGGTTCACCAGCCTTTTAGTTGACTACATTGCTTGGGTATGACCATTCATACTGATCTTGGCGATCTTAGGTTTTGAAATTGGAAAATTATCAATTTTCCTTTGATTACTATTGATGAAAGATAAGATTGGTGAAATATATTTTGCAGAAATGGGCTTTAATCATGTCCTTTAAAAACTGGATAATTATAGGGTGTCTAGAGGACATTTATTTGTAATAATTATTATAGGTAGGTACCTACACAAATTTACGTAACTACAATTAAAGGCTGATGGCATGTGTCTTTATGATTAGCCCAGAGTGGCAGACACTGTATCTCAGCTGCAATGTGCCAGCTGTCTACGGGCAGTCATGAACTCCCAGGTTGGGGTGAAGTAGGCCTACATTGTTCAGCATCCAGAATACACAAGGCAACTTGCCAACATTCTGGTATCCCGCAAAAACAGTGTTAAATTTTTTGCCACCTCCACCTCCTCCATTAACTACATCCTCAAATATTTCACCACCTCCACCTCGGCCATTATTACCACCTCCAATGCCATTAGTCTCACCATTACATAATATTTTGATAAATGATATGATAAATGGTGACAATTTATTATACTGTAAGTATTTCATAGTTTGACCCCCCTATAATAACCCCCCTTCACTTTTTTGACAAAATCAAAGCAGTGACTCCTCAACAATACACTTTTAAAATATTTAGGCTCTGGCCACGTTTAATAAATGACACATTTATGCAGCTTGGTAAGATAGATGGATTTGTCTGAGACTCATAATAAGTAAAGTGTTTTGTAAACATGATGAAACACGCCTTGACTTAATTTTTGTTTCAGTGACTAAACAATTGGTATGTTTCAAGTATTTTAACAACTAAGTCAACTCATAAAAGTAAATAACCAAAATAAAAAGTTACCATAATAAAAAGTAAACCAACTTGTCAAAGAATATTAAATTGAAAGGACTTAAAAGCCACTTAGACAACTTTAAGAATAGCACGATCCAATAGACACCCTGTATTATCATTTCAACAATCAAAACCAGACACACGTTGCAATGCCAGGCTGGGACCAAGAGTAATGTGTAGTTTTGTGAGCAAGTGCGACTAGAGGCTAACCTATATCAACACCTCTGCCTGATCCTCGTCCGTTGACTATGCTAGCACTCAGCTGTTTGGGTGTAGAGGTTCGGGCACCAGGTGGGGCGTACGGGAGCTGATGGGAGGCAGGATGGGGCTGGCGGGCCAATGGTAGGGGGCGGAAGTGGTAGGGACGCTCCGGGAGTGCGAGAGCAGCGGGGACGTCAGAGCGACAGCGGAGGGGTTCGCCGCCGACTCCGGATGCAGGAAGTTCCGTCGGTCAATAGACCGGTCGGTATTTGTGTCTTTTGTAGCTGTGGCAGTCGTCGACGCAGCTTGTATACTTTGTTGCGCCTGCGTCAACACCCGAGTTATCAGATCTGGCAGTAGTTCCACCTGTTGGCAGACAGAGGTGGTTAAAATATATATTGGTGTATGGAAACGTAAAGCCTATAAAGGTCCAAACTGATTTTTTGGTTAACTTTAACTTTATCTTTGCCAGAGTTTTGTGACTGATTAAACTTTATTTTAGATTATTTTATTTTATTTTAGAATTGTGGATATTTATAGGGATGCACTGTGGATGTGATACTCCCTGGTGTGGATTAACGTCCGCACTAGTGAGTACTACGCCTATCCGCAGTTCGGATTCCACAATAACCTGTAGGCCCCTTAGTTGCCATTAGCTGTATATGGGCTATTAATTAACAGCTGTGTCTAAGGAACATGTCGGCCTTAGTCACTAACAAGACTACAAGATCGCACCACTCATCATACACTCACTGTTCACTTATATTTGGGTTAAAATATGCACATAGTGGCGTCCCCATTTTAAATAATTGATTGATTGATTCTTAAAAAAAACATATTTAGCTATATTACAAAGTACTTGTACCTCTAGTCGGCATCGTAACAATGTGGTGCTACTACTACTAAATGAGTTTGGAGAGGATAATATCCGAGTTCAGTTCCTTATGATTGAGTCTACTTTAGAACATGGCTGGTTGTTAATTCCTAAGCTTTCCATAACAGGATAATTTCATACAGGTATGACAGATTGTGTAAAACATTAATTACCTACATAATCATTTATACATAGTCGTGTACAAGTGATTGAGGACCTATAGTTTAGGTATTTCTTGCCGAGCCGATTACTATTCATAGACAATAGACAATAGACAAAGCTTTATTGTCCATGACGCCTGATACAATAATTACAAAAGTAATTCCCAAGCTGGTACATGGTCAATTTATATCTAGGATCCTAAATCTAATTATACCCTAACAAGAGTAAACAACTATTAAAATTTATCTTTAAAAAACGTCTGAATTTTGTAATACGCTTTCTGGCTCAAATCTCTTTCAGCTTATATGTAAAATTTGATTTTGATAAAGTTCTGTATGAATTAGGTAAATGATTGTAGATTTTTAATCCCATGTAAAGAGGCCCAGTTTAAAATTTTGTGTGCGAATTTTTGAGATATTGAAACGTTTTGTTATTATTTCTCGTTTGATAGTTATGATTTATTTAATATTTTTCATAAAAGAAAGGATTTGCATGAACATACTTCGCTATTTCAAATATATAAAGATATGGTAATGTTAAAATGGAATGTTTTTTGAAAAAAGGTTTACAGCTTTTTTTAGACTTCTGGTGAAAAATAGTTCTTAGAATGGACTTTTGGCAAGTGAACACTTTCTTGGCCTCTGCAGAGTTACCCCATAGAGTGACGCCATAAGCCAACAAAGAATGAACATGCATGACTGTCAAGCAGACTTCTAGCGAATGATGAGGAACTTCATTAAAACTTGAAATGGGTTTGTCAACACCGATGTCCCCACCAACACAAATATTCAGTTTGCCATCCTCCACTTCCATACCGGGGACAATCATAGCAATATTAAATATATTGGCAGAACACAGGTTGTTTGTAAGTGTTATGGTGGTAAAAAATATCTGAAAAGAAAGGAGAGGAGAGAGATTCTAGTTTTAGATGAAAAGCAGAGTGTAGGTGAATACATTTGTTTACTAACATATACAGGGTGATTGATATAAGTGTGCCAGCCGTTTTATTCGAAAACCATAAGAGATATAAAAAAAAGTTCAATGGTAAGTGCCTTGGATTTTTTATTTTAAAAATTGTAGTCAAGTCAAAAAAATTATTTTAGCCGCCATTTTTCCAATATGGCCGCCAACTTTGATTTTTCTTATGGAACACCCTATATTTTATGATGTATTCCGATATAAAATGTAATTTTAAGACAATTTTATTCTTGTGATTTTTTTTCATAAATTTAACCGTTTCAAAGATAATAGTGGTTAAAGTTGTGAAATTTCTGCATGAGAAAGAGTTTCGATAAAGGCCTAAGCAAGCATGCCAGCTGTTTATTCAAAAAAACTATTCAAAATTTCTCAACTTACACCATTATGATCTTTGAATTACGGCTAGGTCTATGAAAACAATTACAAGAATAAAATTGTCTTAAAATTACATTTTCTATTGGGATACATCATAAAATAAATGGTGTTCCATAAAAAAATCCATTAAAAAAAGTTGGTGGCCATATTGGAAAAATGGCGGCTAAAATAATTTTTTCAACATGACTCCAATTTTTCAAATAAAAAATCCAAGGCACCTCTAACCATTTAACTTTTTTTTTATATATCTTATAGTTTTCGAATAAAACGGCTGGCACACTTATATCAATCACCCTGTAGCTATATTTAAACAAACAATGAACAGCTAAGTAAAAATATGACATTATAAAATGGGAAACAAAGGCGAAATAACCATACAGTGCAGAAGGAAAATTAGTAATATGGGTCAAAAGAGTAGGTACTGTCAAGGTTATCTTCTTGCTAGTGATGACGCAAAATGACAACTCACCTGTGTTAACTACATTTATTTGACAAAATGTAATAGTGTGTAGTAATTTGTAGTTTAGCTACCTGTTCTTGGATGTGGACTAACTTGTCTTCTAAACTGATGATCCTTTCTTCTAATGAGTCGTATCTTGAGCTCATGTCCGAAACAATTTCATACACGCTGTTCTGAGTCTATGGAAAGATATTTGAAATGGTTATTTAAATGCTTGAAAAACAGGGTTTTAGGTGAAAATATGTAATAAGCCTATAGATGCGATTTAGAAATATCTTAAAGCTCATTGTTTATAGGTAACGTTACTTTTGTTGTAAAACTGGTCATCTTTACCAAATGTTTGAACCTGGTTTATAGCGGTTGATCTCTGGTACATAGCGGCATTTTTATTAATAACTGAAATTGACGTTTGCTTTACAACTGTCAGGTCAAATCGTATGGAACTCTTGTCAAATTTTTATTGTAACCACAACCGTGGACAGAGAAGTGTAATTGGCAATGAGAAAAACTGATGATTGGTCTGACGTTTGTAATTTTTGGCATTGTCAGTTACAAAGAGTTCAAATTTTAATTTATCTAATTTTTGTTGGAATTTGTAAGCTAAGCTGTCTCTCATCAGTTACTTCTTACTCAGGTGAACTTGAGCGATACTAAACTCTTTTACTCTAAGCCGTAGGTTAGTTGCAATAATTGGGTGACAACTAGTCTTTAAACACCGTCGTTCAAGCATTTTTAAAACAAAAAGTTGGACGGTAATTCATTATTGTATATATAGTGCACTTACAGTAGTGGTAAGCAGTTAAAATAAGAGAGTAGGCTACAGTATATACTAAGATCAACGGGGAAGTAAACCAACATAAAATAATGTATACAAAACAATAGGCTAACAGTTGTAAAATTAATTTCAATCAAAATAACACCTGTTTACTTAATTTACAATGCAACCATGAGACATTATAACGACACAACAAATTAACTCTTCTTTAGAATTATAGTGGAAGAATATTAGGAAAATCGACCTAACAAATTCGGACTAAGTGGAAACTTTGCACAGTTGTTTAGTAAGCCTAAATAAATAAAATTTCAAAAGTCCCCATAAATCCCTGCTGTGCTTCAGCCGCCATCTTGGAAAATGGCGGCCAATTTTCACTTTTTTGACAATATTTCACAAACTATTGGTGTTAGAGAATTTTTGTAAATACAAAAGTTAAAGAACGTCTAAAAATACATCTTTTTTATATTACAAGGTCTGCTATATCTCTAATGGTTATTGAGATAAATAATAAAAGTTAGTATTAAATAAAAAATTCCCATCTTATTCTTATGGAGGAAAATAAAATTGTTGCAGTTTGCTTATTTATGGATATATTTTTATCAAACTTGGCAAATTTATTTATTTTATACTAAGCTATTAATATTTAACATAAATATACAATTTAGTACCCTCCCTATAGCAGTTAACCTAGTACTCGTAATATTTAAAGTTATTTAAATAGGGAATCTATTTTTAGGATATATTTTTTGTAAAAATCCAGTCAGGCAAATGGATATTCATTTTTCAATCATATTAACAATCATTTTTCTTATTGGTATTATGATTTAAAGCCCTTACTATTTTGTCACTACCATGTAACTACTAAAAACTTAAGTGGTACCTACGTTATTACTCCCGGTATAACTTTTTGTCGGTAAATATTAGGAAATTGAACCTTAAAATCCGGACTAAATTGATATTTTGCACAGTTAAGCACAGTGAGACTAGTTGATGAAAATAGCAAAAGTTCCCAAAAATATCGGCTGTGCCTCAGCCGCATTAAGTCCGGATTTTAAGGTTGAATTTCCTAATATTTACCGACAAAATAATTATACCGGGAGTAATAACGTAGGTACCACTTAAGTTTTTAGTAGTTACATGGTAGTGACAAAATAGTAAGTGGGCTTTAAATCATAATAGTAATAAGAAAAATGATTGTTAATATTATTGAAAAATGAATATCCATTTGCCTGACTGGATTTTTACTAAAAAATATATCCTAAAGATAGATTCCCTATTTAAATAACTTTAAATATAACGAATACTAGGTTTACTGCTATAGGGAGGGTACTAAAGTGTATATTTATTTTAATATTAATAGCTTAGTATAAAATAAATCCATAAATAAGCAAACTGCAACAATTTTATTTTCCTCCATAAGAATAAGATGGGAATTTTTTATTTATTACTAACTTTTATTATTTATCTCAATAACCATTAGAGATAGAGCAAACCTTGTAAAATAAAAAAAATGTATTTTTAGAAGTTCTTTAACTTTTGTATTTACAAAAATTCTCTAATACCAATAGTTTGTGAAATATTGTCAAAAAAGTGAAAATTGGCCGCCATTTTCCAAGATGGCGGCTGAAGCACAGCAGGGATTTATGGGGACTTTTGAAATTTTATTTATTTAGGCTTACTAAATAACTGTGCAAAGTTTCCACTTAGTCCAAATTTGTTAGGTCGAATGGCTTTATTATTCCTAAAATTCTTGGACTATTAGGCTACATGTGAACTTTGAGAGTTGAGACCGAGAACTTTTAATTCTTTACTTTTAATAATTAAATCTGAAATGGCAACCATAGGATGTAACATAATGGAAGGAAAAAACATATGGGTGCTATTCCCGTCAGACTGGGACGGGTGGCGTCGTCCTGTAATCCAGCTACTAGGAGGTCACGAATTGTGGATATTTATAGGAATGCACTGTGGATGCGATACTCCTTGGTGTGGATTAACGTTCACACGGGTTCGAGTACTACGACTATCCGCAGTAGCCTACTATCCTGATAATTAGACCAATTCGTATATACCAAGGAAAAAATGTGGTTCGGATTCCACTTTAAACTGTAGGTCCCTTAGTCCCCATTAGCTGTATGGGCTATTAATTAACAGCTGTGTCTAAGGAATACGTCGGCCATAGTCACTAACAAGACTACAAGATCGCGCCACTCATCATACACTCATCTCCATTCATACTTGGTTTAAAATACCTACTTTGTATGGTCGCCCTTTCAAAGAAAAGTATAAAGTATAAAGTCATTTTGCTGACGACACCCAGATTGCAAACAAAAATCAGCTGATGTATTGCCATATAAGTATATATTTGTTTTGTTTTGATTGTTATTGTTTTTATAATTTTTCTAAATGGTAGAATGGTGATTGCAATCTGAGTGATGTCAGCATATGACGGGAATAGCACACGTATTTTCCTTCCACCATGAGGCTGTAACACTTTCATCCTTCAAAGAGAGTCAATTTTAAATTTTGACGATTACAAAACTTAATTTAAATATAATTTTAAACACTTACTTTAGCCATGTCTGTTATCGTATTTGCATTATCCATGAGTTTCCTTTGATCCATTTTCACTTTTCGTAAGCTGAAACAAAAATTATTATTAGATCGGTTAGTACAAACTGAAAAACAATCAAATCTATCCCAATGCAAAAGTAGTCCCAGTAATACATTCTTGTATAATTTTTTGTATTAAATGGCCTACACCTACAAACCTGATACAATGGTGAATTTCCAATTGGCTGATTTGATATTAACTTAAATGTTTTCTTAATAATGTCAGATTTATTCCCTTTTGAAATAACATCAGGTTCGAACTAATAATCTCTAGAATGATCTTCGACACTAATAAAAATAAACAATATTTTCAAATCAGCTGGTATTATTAGATTTGGCAACAACGCGCTATCCTCATTGGCTCCTTCAAAGTCACGGCGTAAATAGGCTCCTCCCTTAACTGCAGATTCTCGTCGACCATACAGTAGACAATTTTATTCAGTCATTAAAAATCAACTTAACAAAAATACGTCTACTTACACCTGAAACATATGTTTACACACATTGATTTTACTATTTTAACAAAACTGTAAATTATTTACAGGATTTGAATAAACTCCCGCACGGGCTTAATATATTGTGAACGATAACATATCCCTAAATAAAAAAAATTAGTCCTACATCAACACGACACCCAAAAAACCTACTTTTTGAAGGAGTCAGAAGGAAAACTTAAATACGAGCATAGCTTGATATGTAGGGACCGGTACATCAAATTAAATGCCTTCATTTAGTGCACTACTAGTAGCCTACACATAAGTTAGGGGTACATGGCAAACGACACTATTTACACGCAAAGCAGTCAAGTGAAAGTAATAAATATGACCCTCATCACTTCTGCATCATTGAACTCATCAAACTCCGCGGCGCTGGAAGCCCAATTTTAGCCGCGGTACAGATACCATTGGGCGCAACTGTCACTACACGAAATCAACCTAGACTAGGCCTAATTACAGTATTAACATAGGCTACTTATATTTGGCTGACCTAAGCATAGTGCCGTTTGAACTTACCCTTTTCATAGGCTTATTGCCTCAACTGTTGTGATGTTGTCATTGCTGTAAAAAATTATTGTTTCGGGTGAAATTTTAAAGATTTTTTCCAACAAAGGCCTAAGCTACGTGTACTGTGAGCTGTTAAGTTTAAGTAGCTTAGTAAGTTATATACAATAAGTTGGATAGGCCTAGCTTATATTCAAGTTAGGCCTACCGGTAGGCTAGCATACTTAGTTTTAAGTATATACATATTTTCAGGTTATTTATTCTCTTGCCTCGTGTTTTCCTTAACTTATTCTTGCAAAGGCTTAAACTTAGTTTCTTGATCATCATCCATCATATCAAGCTGCATGTGCCTTGCCATATTTGACAGAATATCCTCCAAATTTGTTGTTTTTTTCTTTGCACTTCCTCTAGGCCCACTACCTACACCAAGAGGCCTCACTATCATTTTTTTCGGAGATAAATCTTCTTCAAAATCAAAACCAGCCTTAATTGGGGACTTTTCTACGATTTCAGATAACTGTTCTTCCAGTCCGACATCATCACTAGGAGTCAATGGTCTTCTTTCTGGGCACTGCCACTCGAGGTTCAAAACTTTGTGTTTATCTAATGACTCAAACAAATCAGCAATTTCTTCAGGGTTTGGTTCCCACTCAACTCCATCTCTAATGGCCAATTCATCATCAGAACAGCTTAACTCAAACTCTTCCTCTGCTGTTCTTTCTAGATTATTTGTTGAGAGAGCCATTGTTAAGTTCACCTAGGATGCTTAACTTAATAGATGCTAATACGCTTCTCTAGGATAAACTCAATCCAAACAGTTCTCCGAGCCAGGGTCTAGAAGTAGAAAACGGGACTTTGATCTCTGGTTCAAATCCTCCAATCAGCAATGGGGTTTCATCTATGAAATAGAGCTGCAACCCTCTAAGCCTAGACTTTAAGAAGTGTGCAAAACTTTTCAAAACTAGGTAGAACCTAGCGTTCTAGAATGTGAAGGTGGGACAAACAAATTATTTACCTTTAGCAAAATAAACGACAAAAACTGTTCTTGGACTAAAAAACATTAATAAATAGAGATTAAGTTATTACAAATGGATTTATAGGTGGTACTTGGGCCAAGTTTTAGAAAAATGAATTTTCTTTGTGTTATCGGTCGTCTCTGAAACTGGCAATCTCATCTCAGTCAAATGAAAACTATATCCTTTCATCCGATATTAAATTATATCGTAGTTTCTTTGAGGAACCCGACTAACAGTGTGATAGTGATAAACTTATCTTATAATTTTTTGTCACTTGACAATCTTAGAAACAACAATAATAAACAATCACCACAATCTGTCTGACATGAAGAAACTAACCTCTAAACTAAATTTACAGATTTTTTTTTGCCAGCGGCAAGTTGAGCTTACACACTATGTAGCTTCGTCATTCAATCTTGGGCTGTTGACCAAAGATTGCTTATATTGGCACTGATTATTGTTATTTACATTGGTTGTTATTATTCAAAATGATTGTTGTTTTTTTTTTTTCAGCGAAGACCAATCTTAAAAAAATTAATGTTATTTATGGTAGGACTAGTCAATTAATGTGATGTCCTATTTTAATGTCAACAATGTTAAATTGTACACAATTATTTTGGGTAATATAATGGTAATATATACTTACGCATATATTGCTAGCAGGAACTTGCGTTGGTGTGTGCGCACTCGGCCAGCGTTGACTCGTTTTACAAGCCTCGTGTGCTTGTAGATGAGCCACGTCTCTCGCAAAACGTTGGCCGCTGCGTTTTTTAACTAGAAGGTAAATACAATTGATGGGTTTCGTTATTAGAATACTCTTTTTACTGTCATTATTATTAAATAGTTATTGTATTTTATTTCTTTGTCTGACCAAGAGTAATCTGATACTTCGTCTGCTTTAGTTTTAAAAGGAAGACGGTGAAGAAATAATGATTTTTGGGTGAGGGGAAAGGAGACGTTGAAGTAAACAAAAGAAATATGGTTTAATAAAGTCGTTAGATGTATTATGGCGAAACGAAACATAAATGACCATCATAACATTTCGTGTCCATTAAAGTAATGCTATAAAGTTGGTCCACCACTCAAATACAACACACTTCTTCATGGTTCTATGATCGCTTATTCGAGTTGGAGCTTATTATTATACTGTACTGTTATGGTAGCCTATATCGAAATTTTATTGTTGAAAACATAGACTTTTTCGGTATTAATGGATGCATCATATATACTTAGTAGACGAAGTAGTATAAGAAGCTAGAGATGAATGGTGGTGGTTAAATTTGGCCAATAAAAGATGTTTGGATGTAAGGAGGTAGGTGAATAATTGTAGAAACGCTAGATGGAAGTAGATAAATAAGATAGGGTATAGCATGTTTAGGTGGACTTTGACTGAGCTGAATTACATTTTTAAATCTCAAAATTACCACCTAAAAAGAATTTGCTCTTAAATACTGATAAACCAGCATAAAAATACTCTAGTTACCCTTTTAGTGAGCTGCGTGTCCATCATGAAGTTGTGGACATGTTTCTCTGCTCTAGTGAGCTCCATTTTCCTTGACACAACCGCCACCAGGAGCGCTGTACACCCAGCCCCCTGCAAAAAAGTGAGGGACTCACAGCGATCTTACTCTACAGGCTACATTGTGACCAAGAGAGGTAATTAATACCTTCTATAGAATAGAGTTATCACTATGCTAATGACAATCAGTATAAACTCAAGTTGTGTGCAACTACGTTGCGTTGAAAGATATTACCCAGAAATGCAGTGAGCCAAAAAAATCTACCACATAGTCATAACATTCAGAAACATTCGGAATATTATAACTTTTTGGAGAAAGGCCTTGATATCCAAATTAGCTTCGTGGAGAAGTTGATTAGATGTATTTGAAAATATATATTGGGCTATATTCATTTCCTGTAATTCGGAGGATGGGGCAGGGCTGCGACAAATACTCTACGCCGTATACGATTTTTAACCATGCTTACTCCCCCTCAGATTTCCCTCTTCCCTACTACTGTAATCTCTTCCACGCAACATTTGGTCTTATTTTTCCCTCTATCCAAGGATTCTAGTTTATATTTTGGTGACTAATGTGTTTCAGTACACTTTTTTACTGTGCCCTATTCACCCGTTTTTTTCCTTCTGACAGTGCTCTCTAACAGGGTCCTTTTCAGTTATCCTACATCACTCTATTGTATCTGGTCAATGGATGATAAAGATTCCTTTGAAACATTGGTCATACACACCGTCTTTGTGTAATATACAGTTCAATTAAGACACCAAAGAGCCCAAAATAGGTTAAAAGGTTAGAGCGTACGTCCTATTGGGCATTGCCACGCTGTACCAACGTGTTTATCAAATTGTTATACTATACAGTATTTGGGTATTGTAAATGTGGTTGCCAAAACATCACGCTACAACAGCTTGTGTACAAACGCACAGCAAATACTGGTTCATCTGTTATTCTGATCAACCGCACCGGTTAGTGTTCACATCATATTATGTGTACAAACAATTGGGTATAGGTTGGGATGAAATTCGCTTGAGCAAAAATGCTACAAACTCTCAGATAACTGTAACAACAATAAGCATAGAAAACAATTCCAGTGATATGTCTGATTACATGTTTGAACATTACATCTTTAATATTATAAGCAGCAAATTTGATATGGCCTGCAAAAACAATGTTGGCTATAGCTTCTTATGTTGTCTGATAGCAAAATGTTAAAAATGCTACCACAGCTTAAACCTTGGAAGCCATTCTATAGTGCACGTACCAGTGTCAAAATACAGGTAGAAAGTAAATATTACATAAACTGATAATTGAAATGAAGTAAGATTATGTACAGGTGAATATATAGTACAAGATTAGATAGGTGAGGTAAACAACAAAGATTATCCAAAATAGTTAATGCATGGCTGTAAATGGCATATAGTTTCGTAATACAGTTCGTTGTTCGTTGTAAGTAGTTTGAAGGGATTTGATTAATGAATAGACAGACAGAAAACTTACTTGTCAGAAAAAAGGGCAGCACTTATTATATCATACCTTATCTCTACAACCTCATTACAGCTCTACTATTTTTACTGTGATCATTTTAAGAAATTCAAACATACTACAAATATACTGAAAGTTTCGAAAACATCTTAAACTTCTTTTTCAGCTTGTAGAATTTTGTGCACATGATAAATTCTAAATACGCATTTGTCGAATTACTAAGCTGACATTCTCATATTTAGGTTATGGATGAGGAGTAGTTCCAGTTTTACCCTAAAATCAAAACAGAATTGTTATTACTGTAAGTTTTCGTTGAAATTTTAAACATTATATTTATAATGCTGAGACATATACCTTTGACTATTAATACAAAAACATACTTTCAAAACAAGAATTACCTAATATCCGCTCAGCTAAACATACTCTCAGCCAGGAACATGAATTACAGATATAGATCTTGTACGTATAACATGTCAAACGCAGCTGTGTGAGTGTAATGTTATTGACATGAGTTGCTCGAGAATGTTTGTGTTATGAAAACATTTCTGATGGCTGAAATTTTTATAAGTTGTATTAAAAATGTAGTAGCCCACATATGGAAATTAATATAGTGACGAAACCATTATTATAAAACGTACACAATTTAGTAAATCGTAATTTGGGGAAAGGTTGTTTACTTAGTTAAGGAATTGTAAAGAATTAATTCAAAATTTGTTCACCTTAAAAAGAACATTATAGTAACAATTCGTCATAACTAGTACCTATATAAAATCATGCTCTGTTCAAATGTTAACTTTTGTTCTTAAAATAAGTAAAAAGTTAAATCACATTTTAAAAGTTTACTTTATTGGAAGAAACATGGTCTTATAGGATTAGACACAAGTTTGATACTTTTAGAATATAAAAATCATATTATTAGAGAATATTTTACACGAAAATAATACTTAGAACGACGTTTTAACACACAACACTGAACTTACAATCAGATCCTATGTAGGGTCATAGAATATTTAAGCCCCGATAAAAGAAATTAATAACTATCTATTGCATTCTTAAATATTTCACCAGCGTTAAATTTTAAGACATAATTAGTATTCATCCCATCAAAAAGCTGAATCATGGAAGAAACACAAGCAAAGATTTAAACCGTGGGAGATAAAAAATAAATTCAAACTGTGCATAGTTTAAATTACACCCAATAAAAGTTTTACAATTACACCCCCAGTTAATGTTCGTTCATTATCATAAACAGTGAAAGTTATTTTCTGAGATAACTTATAGGTAAGGAGAGGAAAATAACTTTCTTTTACTACTGAAACTTTATAATAAAATTAAAGTTTTTTGCTCGGTAGAGCAATAAGTTGGCTCCAGCTCATTTAACTTGACGACTTTCCTTCAGTTTGTCTGACTTTCGCTATCCGCATTCGGCCAAAACATCCGACTGAGACAGGAAATATGACTAAGACAATAACTCGTAAAAAATTACATTTTTATAAGGTTTCTCCATTTTCCTTGTATTTGATGACAATAGAAATGGAGATCGATGCATGAAACTATGGATGTTTGCTATGGATGTAACTAAACTTTCCATCAGTATAATATTAAAGTTCTAGACAGTTTTAGGAAAAAAAACGAACATCTGAATCAAGCCACAGATAGAACGTGCGAAATATACCGACTTAAAAAAAAAACAAACTGAAATAACAAGTTATTGCTTACTGCACACCATTGCGCCTTTTATGCCACAAGAACTTTTAAATTATTAGGAACAAAAAATAAGACAGGAATGAACATTTTAGGCAGTACCATAGTCTGTATGTGGCTTATATGTTCTTTTTAATACCAAAATTACTAAAGCTCCATATTGATGGGGTTTTATATTTGTACACTAAACAACGATTTGGACAATACACGTAATGAACAAGAACAAGACATTAATTTTGTATGGAGCAGCTGCATTACTTTTTTTTTATAGAAAAGAACAGTTGAGTTATGCTCTCAAAGAGTGTGCTATTATTAAAGTTACATACGGTATTCTCCAAAATTCAGTCCATTACATCTGATAAGGAGTAAATGCTATCATTTACATTAAGATTATTCTTTAACTTGGTTTAAAAGTAGAACTAGTATAAATATAAAATGAAAGAAACTGTATTTGCCTCCTAACTCTGTCGGTGGTTCAGTAAAAAAAGTTTTTTTTATTTTAAAAATGACTACAATCTTGTTTTATAAATAAATTTACAGAATTCAACAGAATCGAAAAACAATACTAATACCCCGCCGCAGCAAACCTGCAGACTAAGCGAATTTCCATTTGCCTGATTGGATTTACACTAAAATGTCTACTTAAAAATTTAACATTTATTTCCTATTTAAATAGAATTAGTTTAACAGGTACTTAGGTTTGCTGCATCAGGGAGGGTAAAACTGCTTTTTTTGTAAAATGTTAATAGTTGGTAAGAAATAAAAACATTTTCAAAATTTGATCAAAATATGTTCATAAACAAGCAAACTACAACAGTTGACTTGTTCTCCATAAGAATAACATAGGAATTTAAAATTTAAATTTTTTTGGAATTTTCTCCGTAACCATTAGGCGCATAGTAACACTTCAATATACTAAATTATTTGTTTTTTTAAGCTCTACAAAATGGTTTGGAAAGAAATTGCTAAATTTTATGTTTTTTGGGTCAAAAATGGGAAAAACCTATTTTTACACCATAAAACCCCCCGTAAACCCCCGTTCCCATAGTCCGATCATGCTGGTTCGCGAACTCGTTCAAGTTTATCCCGCCTTACACCTTCAAACCAAATTTGATCAAAATCGGACAAAAATTACTCAAGTTATCGTGCGGATGGACACACACACACACACACACACATATATATATATATATATATATATATATATATATATATATATATATATATCTCTATATATAGATATATAAAAATTTGAACGAATGGTGTTTTTGGCCTCTGGGGACATCAAAATGAAAAAGTAAATCGGTCCCGGGCCTAGGTCTTACCATGAGACCTACGGTAATAGCTACTTCCCTATAGGGAAATTCGCTAAAACTATATATTTTTAGGTTTCGAATCATCATTCTATAAAATCTACGGACATTCTACATACTGAAAAGCACGGATGTGGTTCCCATGTAAAATTAAAACTCATTCTACTCTCGGATACCATCTCCTGGCTCTATCTATAAATTATTTTAAGCGCAAAGGAAGTAACTTTCTACAGACGTAGCTGAAAGTGTAAAACAAATGGGATTCGTGCTGATAGGGGTGTTGTTAAACGTATTTAACACGTAAAAGTAAGAATCAAAATATCCGGTGAGTACAATAAATCATTAAAAAATATCTTCTAAACGTATATTTTAAAAGAATGAAAACTACATATTGGTAAAATTAACATAAAAGTAAATATTCTAATTAATTTTACTTAAAATATTTTATGCTATGGTCAGTTTGAATAATGTTGAATTTTACAGGTGTAAAACATTGTTGACAGCCCTAATAATGAAACTTTATTATTATTCAATGTGGAACTTTATAAAATGTCTTTCTTTTGCTCACTGCATAAATGCTCTTTCGTATTTATCTTATAGTTTTTCTTACAATTTTACAATTTCTTAAAATTTGCTAAAAATAGTTTTCGGTCTTTTTATTTATCATGTTATGTTTATTGTATTTCAAGCAATTGCATCTTCTACCATAAGACTGGTATCGATAGCCTTCTCTAAATTAGGCTATGCTGTTATTAATTAATGAATTGTTATTATTGTAGTAATCCTTTGAAAAAAAAATCTAAGTTATTATAAACGAAAATGAGACAATTATTTTTCGTATATATTGTAAACATTGTACAAGTTAAAGACTCTCAACTATGACTGTGAAAGTTATTGTGTATTAATTGTATCACTGGTTGGTATTATCGTTGATTATTCGATACTGTATGTATTATTGAGACGAGCAGCGCAAATAAATCTCAAATGGGCCATACTTGGGACCCTCGATAACAAAGTGTGATTACATTCGTGCGGTTTCCGCTGCACCAATAAATTTAAATTATTACGAGTCAAACTGTATTGGATGAAATAAATAGATGTCTGTAGTAAGGGCAAACGCAGCAGTATCGTTACCACATTATCATCGTTGTCAAAGTGATCGTCATGATCAACACATTGTTATTGCCATCGTCATCATGAACGTATAATGTCATTCTCATGATTACTATGTCATTTTAGAAAGTGTCACAACGACATAACCATCATTGTCATCATTATCATCATAAACAACTTATAGCCACAACCGCATCATGGTGGTACTTGCTCTAACGCTTGTTTCATTTGGCTACAGAGCGTCTAAAGACATCTAGTTTTGTATGAATATGTCTTATTAATGTGTCTAATTTTCATACAAAAAAAGTGGGACGGCATCAGTAAAAATGGTTACCTTTCAAACGGTTTGTCCGCGCTACGAAAAGGTACTCATAAATAAATTTATATCTGATATACAAGAAATTGTATTAAATAGTTTTTGCATACATGCGAAAAGACAAATAAAAATTTCTTCTTTTTACAACACTATTTAGATGTCTTCAAGTTGAAAGATTCCAAAACCTAACATAACTAAGAAAGTCGAGAGAGCCTTTCACGGTCTGTGTCATCATAGTGATTATCGGGTTCAAAATCACGTCATCAGTTAGGAAAGACAGATATAATTGCTGCCAGATCTGTTGCTATGGAGACCCTGAGGAGCTTTTAAGGGAGGATTTTCTGGCAGCTATCTCCTCCTATTGGCGTAGAAAACTACTACGGATTCTTCAAGGAGAATCATAATACTAGAGAGGACACACTTCTTCCTGTGCAAATACTTACCATGATACCCGTGCTGACTGCTATTCCTCTGCCACAGTACGTGTTAGGGACTATATCTCCAAACCCAACACTCAAAAACGTGATGGCGATCAGCCACATGGCGTTGAGGAGGTTGGCGTGATCTTCGTCGTGAAACCTGAGGACCGAGCATGAAGGTAACACCCAAAGAGGGCAAAAACTACCCCTCATGAGGGGGGGTTGTGGCTGACACCAACGACATACGGAGGGGGTTGAAGAATTGTTGGACGAAAGTTAAGGATTTATTGTATTTTTTTTATGTGATTCAAGAATTCTTTAGATTGAGTATATTTTCTAGATAATATTGCGAATGTCAATAATGGTCTACCAATCACGAGTGTTAATGTACTCACTTGGTATCTAATTTAATTGAACGTATTTTTTTAACAGATGGTTGAATGATGCAGTTACATGCTTCTAACCGACGAAAGATACCACATAAACTAGTAATTTCTTACTGATTTAGTTCCTTATTAATTTGAAACAAAAAAATAAATGTTTAAAGAGTAAGATAATAAGTGTTCAAATACACTGTGCTTGAATTACAACAGAAAAATTATTGTGATTTTCCGGTCTGGAGTATAAAGTGGATTTCTAACGTACGGTTACCAACTTAGCCATTTTTAGTTAAACGTTGACTCTGAATTTTTCTCTATAGACCAGATGTAGGCAAGCTTAAAATAATATAGACCACAAATGAATAAACACCTCATAAAATATGTAGGCCTATGCTATAGAAGTTTTTATTATTTCATTTGGTTTGAAGACAATGATACCTGAGGATACATAATCGATTCTGTAATTCAAAATAATTATTCCTTTCGGTTTGGTGCGATTTATAGTGATGTATTATATTCAATTTACATTTTATTGTTGTTGTTCTTATAAGCATGATGTTTGAGGGATAACGGTGTTGTGCCACACGCTCTGTCATGGGTCCAATTTATTGAGCTCTGCTATTTTTATTCTCAACTTGGCTACTTTGGAGTGACATGCTATTTAGTTTTACAAGCTATTATCGAACTACATCGAGGTTTTATTAAGCGAATGGCAGTATTTATTAGTAAAAATAAAGTCCTATTTCGAATTTATTCGTGCAAAAGAGCATTAAAACGCAGAGAGCCGCATGTGACGCAGCCCAGTTGTAAAACCTTTCTTTTGTTCCATTGTTTAAGCCCCGAAACTGGGCAATACAGCGATTCATTTATAAACCCTCCCTTTTGTAAGGTTTACATCTTAATTAGTCAGAGAAACATTCCGTAACGTTTCTAAACCTCAGATTTAAAACGCATACTACGATTGTTTTATAGCAAACAATATTTCCTGGTAATTTTTCAAGAGAACGGTCCAAACGCTGGCTTTCTATCGCAGATTCATCGGGATCGAACTACCAAACCTCTGATTTGTGATAGCTGAGTGGTTTTAGTGCACTCATACAAAAAAGTTCTTCAGTTCAATCCTAAAAAAAGAAAATTGTTATTGATGGGTTGAAACTGGATTCAGTTCTCAATCACTGGGCTATCAATGAATAGTCCCGGGAAAAAAGAAAAAAAAACTGTTGTCATTCGTCAGTAAAAAGATACACAAATCTTCTCACTTCATTCTACATTCAAACTTCATTTATATTTTGGTGAAACTTTTCAGTGTCGTCCTTAGCCTAAATGGTAGTAAAGTAATGGCAATAATTAATGGTAATTTTTGTACGATCACTATGAAAGGACCAAAAACTATCATGTTTTTAAATCAATAAAGATTTTTTAGGGGATCCATAGTTGTACGACAAAAACGTATTTTAAAAAGACGACCGCGTTAACCGTCTTAACGTCTTGGTCATAGACTGCAATCGGCAGACTTGTAGTACACGAGAAGGCAATAAAAACGACAGTTTGGTCGTCAAAGTGTAGACTGTTAAGTCCGGAAACCACTGAGTAAGTTGCATTTTATTGGCTACAAGTTTTGTTACAGGTTTACAAGTCTAAGCTAAAGTTTACAGCTTAGAGTTTCAGACAACTCCGTCTGCAATCCTTAAATTGAGTTACTCAATTGTCTTGTTATTTTATTTGCTACTGCAATACGTTTAAGATTGTCAAGTACTGTAATACTTACTAAAACGCCTATTTAGACGTTGTAATGGTTTGACTTTTATTTGGTTACTAGTTAAACCTTATCGGTTTGTTCAGATTTGTTAAGTTCATGTTTTTTAATATTTCACTTTGAACAACTTAGAAAACTAACTACCGTTAAAAAAAAAAAAACATTTTTGATTTAGAATACAGAAAGTGAATCAATACTTCGGGTATGGTAATTGGAAAACTGAAATTTAAGTAAAATCTTACACCAAATGTAAAGCGAGTATATGAGAGTTACATTATGTTCAAATGAACATAGTGTTTCTGTAATATCGAAGCTACAGCGACTGTACAGTAACAATGCTCGACTGCTAGTATTGACTAGATTTACTCGCTGAACATGAAGCTATAAAACATTGAAAACAGAAGTCTCTGCTTCTTGCAGTATTTCTTAACCACTTTGGTGCAAAATTTATAAACTGTAAGATTTCTAGATGTAATAAAACTTGTTTTGTGGAAACTTGTTTAAGTATGTTACTAAACCCCCCCCCCCCGTTTTAATCTTTTAAAACGTTAATGTGCACTATGTAAAAGCGTATACACGAAACACTGTTAATAGTTCTAATCCTTTTCACCATAAAAGAAATGAGGCTAATAACGCGTTATTTGCTATTAAAGTTATTGCTAAGAGTAGTTTATTTCAAAATATTACCTACCCGCCTTTAATAAAGGCTTAACTTAAAAACGTTCGAAAAAGTTAAGGAAAGAATAGGCGAATTATTCATACAGTCCATTAAAAGTGAAAAGAAAGGGAAGCGAACTTTCGAATAATGTCGGAAGTTTGGGAGGTATTAACATAAAGACGAGGCAGTTTTGTTGCCAGGGCCAAGTCTTGATGAATGAGATTCGTCAGATCGGCGCCGATCTGTGTCTGCTCCTTGACCGAACTGAGAGCAATATATCTATGGTAGAACTGAAGAGAATCACGTCATAGTACGTAATGACGTCATACTACTGAGATACATTGCGTCATGATACTGCAAGGAATTGAATCAGTATGAGGAGAATTGACGCCGTTGAACTCAGAGAAATGGCACCATATTACGATGATGATGATGACTCGACATAGTACTGTAAGTAATGAATATTCGTACAGCATTGATGATTATATTACTTCATCTATGCCACAGGTTTCTTCGATATGTGAAAGTCTATTCTTAGTATTATTGTTAGTGTCAGTGTTTCTAAATGTCTTTTCCGCAAACGCATTGTACATTAATCGATTTCATCGGTTCCATGAAAAAAAAAATCATTAAAAGAAATCATTATGAAAGAAATCCTTATATGATATTTTATTGAAATATTTGAAAGTCAATTAGAACATAAAAAATATGTTAGTTTGCATCTATAGAGAAACCACTGGATATAGAGTTTTTAAACAAAATACACTATTGTCCACGTAATCTATTGACACCTAAATCTATATTATAAATGCAGTTATGTAATATTTAACACACGAAAAATGTGAATTCCCAATATTTTGAAAACCTTTTAAAATTAATTTAAAAAATAAATACATTATTTTTATAATTTTTTTTTATAATTTATTTTTATAATTATTTTTATGTTTTACTGCGCTCGTTTTCATTTCTCAAACAATATTTTTAATATATTTTGTAATATTTATAAAATATTAGATAACAATGTTTAAAACATGTTAAAAAATCAAAAACGTATTTTTTATATGTTAAAAAGGATTGTTAAAACATTTAAGCGTATTTTTAAAAAGGTTTACTGCAACCATTTTAATTTTACAAACACTATTTAAAAAATATTTTGTAATATTTACAAAATATTTGTGAACAAACTGTTAAAACACCCATTTTTATTTTGCCTATTTTGAAAATTTCAAACATATTTTGAAAATGCTGAAAATGAAATATATTATTTAAGATTCCTACCCCGTTAATAGGTTTATGATATAATTTAAAACATTGATACATGTTTTAAATACTTTTCTAAACACTTTTACTGCTATCAGTTTTACTTTTTCCATCAACATTAATATTAATTATTTAAACCCCTTTAATTTTTAAACTTATTAGAGCAAATCTGTGGATTTAAGTAGAATAAACTGTAGTTTATAAACAATAAAACTGAAAACTGAGTGGGTGGAAAAATTTGTTGCTGGTGGGGATATAATTGTTAAAATACCAACCCCTGTTTGGGGGTGGGTGATGAAATTCAAAATCATGTTAAAAAGAGCGTAACATCACCCTGGTCAGGTGTACTGAAGGTTATTTGGAAATTTACAGCCATTAACAAAATAAAATCGACGGAATGTAAAGTTCCAGTTAAATAAACGTCTAACATTTTTTGCCATGACTTTTTGGAAATTCGTCGTATCAAAGTCGGATTTGCGTCATTGATTTTTTTAAAGTTCTTAAAAATGATGTGCTACTTGATAGGGGTATGTTTTAAAATTTTAAGTTAACCTCAGCAACCCCTATTTGGGGATGGGGGTGAATTTCAAAACACCACCAAAAAGTACTTTACATTACCCTAGTAACGTGTATCGAAGATCCTTGGAATACACGCGGCCGTTTAAAATCTAACCGTGCGAGGTATTACGGGACACCCAGTACAAAAAGAGTACACATCTTTTTAGAAATATTTACACAAGGTGTTTACAATATTCGAGTTGAAAAATTTCTTTAATAATATTTTCAAAAGGGTTTAAAAATATTGCTGTTAATTTTGTATATTTATCAGAATAATGTAGTTTTTTATGGGCTATGTGCAAATATTTGAATAACATTTTATTTTTTTTATTTTTACAAAATGTGTTGAGAATAATTAATTGTGTGATAGTTTTAATGCTATTTTCTAAAGGTATTACATCAATATTTTAGTAAAAATATTATTTAAGGGAAATTATTAATATTGTTTATAAGTGACTATATTGAAATAAAAACATTCTTTCAGAAATATTTACAGAAGGTGTAAAATTTTTTTGTTGAATATATAGGCCTATATTTAGTAATATTTA